ATATGATTAACTTTAATCTTCATTCATACTATTTATTTAAGAGTTAGAGAATTCAAAATACTCTTCAAAACTAATTAATTGATAAGCTAAAGTAAAATTAGAATATTATAGCAAATTTTAGTCAAAGTTAGAAGTTCTTTTAAATTCTTAAATTGCTAATACTATTAATTCGCAAGCCAATATATTTTGATCAACTACAAAAGTCTTACTATAATTTGAGTTCAAATATTTAATCTAGATTTCTTTTTAACCGCTCATGAAATTGTTTTTTATAATAGGTGTAAAAAGTGATTTTTTTGTACAGATCATAGAAAGTGTTCTAGCATTTCTTTTATTTCTATATTTTTTTATTCTTTCATTTTCCTAAATTAATTATGAAAAGGATTTATTGTTAGTTCTATATGATGTATTACTTCTTTTTAGAACTGGTTTTTGAAGTTACTCTTGTTATTTTTCTCTTTAATCATCATTAATTTCTTAAGTATTTTCATCCTAAACCCTGTCACTTAAACTACTTTAATTATTTGTTCTATTGAGTCTTTAAGCTTTGATATTAAACTCAAAATCCTGACTGTATTTAATAATATTAGTAACGTTCGAACTCTATTCTTGTTATTAACATTCTTGATATAGATTCTCAAAATCATTCCAGCTAAAGTCTAAATTCTCTTTCTGGCTTGTTTAGAGTGGAATTTTAACTTCTTTTTTCCATTTGATAGGTGTTTCACATATTTTTAAATAAAAATTATCCATTATAATAATTATATTAATTGAAATCATTTTAATGTTTCATTTATCTCTAAATGATTTTTTTCTTATTTCTAATAATTTATCTAATTTTTTGTAAATTTCAAAAAATTATTTATTAAATTTAGCTTAAGTTCTTTTATCATTACTTTATTGAGGAAAAAAACATAATTATTTAAAATTTCGAACAGAATTCTTGTATATGAAATAAAATTTTTATTATTTTGAATCTAAATGACACTTTTTGATTGACTTTAATTTAATAGTTTTGTTTGGTTTCTTTTAATTATTGAACATTTCTATAATATAATTTTTTATAAATTAGAATATTGAAATATGAGAAAATTACTAATTCTATTGATTTATTTTGATGATTTGTATGTCAAAATAATCAATACCTAAAATTACTTAAAATTGTTATTTTTTTTTTAATTGCATGATTGAAAATTCTTAGTAAGAATATATTTAAGATAAATAGTTTTTTGAGTCAATTTTAAATGTTGAATCTAATGGATTAAAAGATAATAACCCATCTTCTACATAATTTTGTTATTTGAAGTTAGAAAATTTTTTATTTATATCAATTAGATCAGAAGGTTATGTTTCGATAATATATTTTTTTTCCAAAACTAACCAATGTATTGGCAATTCATAAATTGGAGTATTTAAGCATAATGGAAGAATATTAGTATGAATACAAGGATATTTAAGTCTTAAAAAATAATCTTTTGAGGATCTTTTATTTATTGGACCACTGTTTAGTGATTCAAAAACATTTTATATAGTTGATGTATTTAAGCATTTAATTTATTAATTAGACTATGTTTGAACATCTTCAATCAACAAAATGATATATTAAGGAAATAGTTCATAAGTTTTTTTTAGAGTTAATAAGTCAATACCAAATGTAAGTTCGCAAGTAGAATTGACAACAATATCTACTTATTTACAACTTAATATAGCTGGATAATCAATAGTAATTGTTTTATCTTCAATATCTTGAAAAGAATACTCAACCTAGGATGTGATGGCTCTCTTTTAAATAATTATTCTTATAATAATACTTCATCACAGCTGACTCTTCTAGCAGCAATATTATCTTCATCTTTTTCAGTGAAACTTTTAGTTCTTTAAATAGGCTTTCTAAAACGATCTTCATCCATTTCCATTTGATCTTCAAGTGTTTCTAATTAGTATGCAAGAGTATAATTTTTGTATTCATATAAATTTTAATCAAATCTTCTTTCAAGACTATATTCTTTTAATGCAAGTACAATAAATTCAATAGCTGTCATGTCTTTTTCAATAAATAAGACTTTTGAGAGATTAGTTCTAAAATATTTTACTTATATTGTTCGAAGATGTTATTTTCCTATTTGATTTATATTATATGTAATAATTGATTTTTATTTTCTTATTTGTTCAAAATTATTTACAATTGCTTAATTAGGTCGCTTAACAAATAATTTGGCTCCATGTTATTTTTAAAATTGACCAAAATCTTTTTTAAAAGCAGTTTAACTTCTCTTCATAGATCTCTTTAATAGTTAAGCAACTTGCTATTTGTTTTATTAATTTTACTGATCTGTTTGTTTGATTTTTATTTATTCAAGTTAATAATCATTTGATTATATTGAACTTTATTAAGAACTTTAAATAGAAGCTCTTCTGTGAAAAAATTATGTTTTAATTTGTTTCTGTTTTGAGAATTCAATTTCTTCATCAGATTCTTAAATATTAAGAAAAATTAAAGTTTCAGTTTAAGTAAATTAAAATTATTCCAATAAAGACTACGGTGTTGAATGCTTACTTTAGCTAAGGGTATCATTTATTTGAAATTGATAATTTTCCATAAAATAGAAAATTTAATTGCTTTTTAATATTAAATTAGAAATTCAACAAAATGGATAAATTGTAATAATTAATGTATGAACTTTTCTCTCTTTTGTATTAAAATTTTTTCTTTAAAGAGAATTCAAAAAATTATTTTAAAATCATGATAATGTATACAAATGGCTTAAGAGAAAAAATAATAAGGAGTTAGCATAAAAATTAATTGAATTTATCTTATCCTTACATAAATAGTATTAATGATCTATTTTATAGGAGAAAATTACTTAAACACATAATTTACTAAAAATTATTCTAAGTTTATCATTTAATAATACTTAAATAACTCAGAATGAAAAATAAATTTTAAATGATAATTTAAAGAACAATAAATTGACTCAAATAGAAGTATAAGTAAATGTTGGTAAAACAGCAAGAATTAAAAATTTAATGAATAATAGATAGAAGATAAATTTCATAACAATATATTTTTGTTAGAAATAATATTATTTAAATAAATTTATAAAAAAGATTAGATTGAGAGGTAAACAATAAAAATAAAAAGAATTTGAAAGGAATGTAAAAGAGTGATTTTCAATAAAGATTATATGTAAAGAATATAGCAAAAATGGGTAGAACTTTAATGAAAGATGATTATTAATTAAATGATAAAATAATAAGAGGTTTTTGATTTAAATATTAAATATATATATGCAATTTCTTTTTTAGATTTCATAATGTGATTGTTCTTCCATTTGTAATAATACCCCAACCAATTAATCTAAATTTATTATTTAATCTTCTACTAAATGCAACTTTTTCTTACAAGCCAGTACATACTGGATTATTGAGAGCAACTCTCATTATTTTCTAAGATATATAGAATAATAATTTTACATCATCTTTAACTTCAATAACTTTACCAGGTGTTTCATTGGACAATACATTGAATTTCAAGGTTTCATCTTATAAAATTTTAGTAATTTTTTAAGTTTTACCATCTTATTATTGAGCACCAACAACAGAGACCATTAAATAATAATTGATCTAAATAAATTAGAAACAAAGATATATACTTCTAATTCTCTGTATAGTTCAGGTAATTATTTAGGAAATCCTAAAACACATCCTACAAGATTATCATTACGAGTAAGAGATGGATCAACTAATAATCCAACTCCAATAAGACCACCTGGAACAGCATATATTAATTCATTTTATTCAGCTTAAAGAGAGACAACTCTAGTAATTATTGGATGCCAAGTTGTTTGAGTGCCATTTTTAGATTATCTACCAGGTCTAATTTCAACTTCATCTCCTACAGAAAGTATTCCCTAAAGAATTGAACCTCCAACAACACCTCCATGTAAATTTTCTGGTTTTTCACCAGGTTTATTTACATCAAAAGATCTATTAAAATAATATATATTTATATATAGATTACCTAATAATAATCATTTTAGGTGGTACTTATAATTATCGAGTAGGAATTGGAAAAAAATTACAAATTTGTTAAAGAACACAATCAATATTGTATTTCAATTATGCAGATACTGGTATAATTGGAGAATCTTCAGCTATAGTTCCTTTAATAAACTTAGTGATTTCTTCATAATTTCTTAGAGCAGCCTTTGCTTCATTAATAATCAAATTACCTGTTGATCTCTAAAGATAATATCAACCTTATTTTAAATGACAATGACATATTTTAATTTAGTAATTACTAAAGCAACTAAATGTTCTTATGTTTATGGTTATGGACAAGGCATATTAGCAGCTACAATAAGTAATGCACAATCCATAACAGCAGCACCAGTTAACATTGTAGACATTAATATATCATGTCCTGGACAATCCACAAAAGATATATGTCTCTCTAAGTTCATTACTTCTTTGCATAATTCACATTAAGCATTTGATTATTTCTCACTTGAAAATGATTAATAACATTAAGGTTCAGGACATTTTGGACATTTAAAAATCTTTGCATTAGCATATCCCAGTCTAATAGTAATATTTCTCACTCTCTCTTATCTGAAACGCACTGTACTTTTATGTATTAACATATCATATACTTTATTGTTGATACTGATCTCACTAATGTTGATTTTCCATGAGCAACATGTCCAATTGTACCAACATTAATTGTGGCTTATCTACTTATTACTTCTTGAGAATTTGGAGTTAAATTTGGAATTTAATCATAACTTTATTTCAATAAATGTGGTTGTCGTTTCATCAATTCGTCTATTTCGTTCTCTGTCAAACGTAAAGGTCCTCTTTTAAAAGTTTCCATTAATTAATTCTTTAATATTAGAATTTAATATTTTACTTTATATATTAATCATTATTTCTATTTAACTTTTCTTTATCGTTTTTTTTAACTTAATATTCTATTACTTTTAGTTTCTTATCAATGTATTTTTTATTTTTAAAATTCTTAATTTCATATTCTTATTTTAACTATTATTCATTACTAAATATCTAGTCTAAAATAAATTATTTAAAATTAACATTGATGATTAAATTTAAATAGAAATAATTTTTAATTTAATTTTTTGAAGTAAAATGTTTTCATAAGCTTTCAGAAGAGGTCAATAACCTTAATAATAGTAACCATAACCATTAGGCATTTCATTCCATAAGTAAGAAACTTAACTTATTTAGTTAATTGTAGGCTCAATAAACAAAATCCTTCTCTCAAACATAATATGAGAAAGAGAATATAAGCTAATTTCTTGGTTCAACAAAAAGATAAAATTTAAATGAATCCTTCTATTAAGAATAATAAGTACCCCAAATATCAGAAGTTTATAGAATATTGGAATAGTTGTAATAAATGATGGTAGTAAAATTCAATGACTTTCAAAATGTAATTAACGAACAAGAAAAAGCCATTAGACCTTTAATTGACTAGAATACTTAATTAAATAACTAATTAACTAATGTTCTTTAACAAAGTGAGAAAATACTTTCATAACTCACAACCAATCTTGAAAAGAGTGAATAGATCAATAAAAGGAATCTAAAGAAAAAAAGTAACGAAGGTTCAGAGAATGATTTAGGAGCAGTTTAATTATTACTAAAAACATTAGATGATAGATTAAATAATTTATCTAATGAAGTAGAATTGATTGCAGAAACTAACAATAGATTTTAAGTTCATGTGATGGAAATTGTAAACATAGATAAAATAGAGCATCGTGAAAATATGTAAAGAGTATTACAAGAGATGGATAAAGCAAAAAGATCATTATCGAAAAAAATAAAACGTTGAATTTTATTATTATATATAACCATAATTAAATAAAATATTTGTACTATCTAGAATTAGTTCGATAATTTAAAATATCAAAATTAAATCATTATTTAAAGTTGAATTATTTTCCAGATTAAATAATTTGAAAAATCTATTGAAGAAATTATAAATCTAATTTATATAAATAATAAAATGTATAATTTAAATTAAGAATATAAATTAGATTATTTATTAATTCAGAAATTTGAAACTTGAATAATTTAGAAAGTAGAGAGGTTAGTAAAATTTTTAATATATATTAAGTTTAGGGATGTCTATAATTTTGAGAAAGATGCAAAAAATTTTCTGAAAGTGATTTGAAGACAACAATAAACTAATTCTAAATTTAATTATCAAATTTAAGTTTAATAAATAAATTAAAATTTGCTTGGATATTGTAAGTGTTTTAGTTACAAGAAATTCTAAAAAAAAATATCTATTAATGAATGATATTTGGTCATAAATTTTTAGGGTAATAATTAAAAATTTTTAATTTTAGATTTCTTCAAATGGCATTTAATAATTAATTAGATCTATTCTAATTTCTGAATATTTTTTATTTATTTTATATATACTTTTGTAGTAAATAAAAAAGCAAATATAATATATAATTAATATTATATATTATAATATTTATAAAAAATGAAAATGACATCATTATTAATTGTTGCATTGCAAATATATTGCTCATTAGCAGTGCTTGGAATAGATTTACATGCAAAACATGATGATTTTGCTTGTATTAAAAAGAATGGATACCAATTTGTTATAGCAAGAGCTTACAGAAGTTTTGGAGCAGTAGATTTAGATGGATATTAAAATTTAGAGAAAGCAAAAGCAGCAGGATTAATAGGAGATGTTTATTTCTTCCCATGTAAAGGAAGTAATTAAATAATTGTTATAAAAATAATTAGAGAAAACAGCTAAAAGTCAAGTATAAGAATTTGTCTAAACTTTTGGTAATTAATAAACATAAGTGTATGGTACAGTATGGGTTGATGTTGAAACAAATCCTAGCACAGATTGTGGATGGACAAATGATTATGCAAGCAATTGTAATTTCTTATAAGAACTTGTAAATGAATTGAAAGGAAACAGTAGATCAGTAGGAATATATGCCTCATAATATATGTGGACTTCTATATTTGGAAGTTAATCAGCATGTTCACACTTTACTTCACTTCCATTGTGGTATCCTCATTATGATCAGACACCTACTTTTGATGATTTTCCTAAATATAAATTTGGAGGTTGGACTACTCCTAGTATTAAGTAGTATTCAGGAACAGCTACAGTTTGTGGTGTAGGAGTTGATTTAAATTATTATAAGTGAAACAGATAATATTGATATCATTAATAATTTTATCAGAATATTTCATTTTTATAATAATATATTCTAAATCAAATATCCATGATTGTACTCTCTAATAAACAAGATTGAAAATTAAAAAGAAACAAATTTAGATTTTAGAAGAATTTGTCATGTTTCAAATTTTAAAATAAATTCTTCGATTTTTTACTATATCAATTCATTCGATTTTGAAATAATAAATAAAAAATGATTAAAAATTTATAAATTTTTATTACGAATAAATTTTATATAATTTTCAATAATTATTAAACTTTATATATAGATTTAATAAATATTAACAAGAATATGAAATTATTTCAAATAAGCTTCTTTTATTTAAAGAAATTCTTCAATTAACGAGCTTAAACAACATTGGTTAAAGTCATTAAAATCAAAGTGACAACACTAAAAATAATAATTTTATATGAAATCTTGCTAACATTTGTATATCTTGTAGCTTATCTTTCTTCTATTTCTTTTTATTCTTACTAGAATATATATAATAAAAATATTTACTTCGACTGAATTAATTAATCCATTTAATTTCTTCAAATGTATTTCAATGGGTTTTAAATCTTCTTTTTAAGCCACTAAAGAAAAATCTTAGGCATCCATTCCTGTAGCCAAAGTAAAGTTAAAATTAATTCCAACATTTGCTAAGTTATGTACACAAAATTAATAATTTTCTTAAGTGTTGTTTGTTGTAAATGAAAACTTTTGCAATTCCAAACTATGAGCATATTGTAAAATGTTATCTATTTTTTTTTATGGTATCTATTTAATTAGAATTATTCATACATGTATTTTTAATGAATATTCACTTGAATTTGCCATCACTGAACCTACAACTAAACTATTTTAACCAATAATTTCTCCAAAGCATTTTAATTCTTTTGGTTTTGATGGGAATGTAAATTGTATGCTGAAAACTCCATAAATAAGAATTGCAAATAAAGTATACATTACGTGTAAAAAAAATAATAATAATCAAATTAGTGATATAAGTTATCTAGCTATTAGTTCATTTTTTTCAGCTTCACTAATAATAAAAGGCTTACCATTATCATCTAATAATTACATACCCATTTCAGCATCACATAATTACTCTCCTTAATATGTACAAAGTAATGTCTTTTATTATTTACCTAAATAAAGTAATCCTATATATATTATGATATTTTTACTTCGTTTAATAGCTTAATATAAAGGAGGTATGTTTTCTGATTATTATTTCTTTTTCTCACTCCTAAATTGTGGTGCCTTTAAAAAATCTTCATTCAAAAATCTATTAATATTTATTAATTATGAAGATTTAAAAGGGTTTTTTGGTGATTCAATTTGGCTTGATTTTCCATCTCCATTTAAAAATTCTATACTATCATTTGAATCTAAAATTGAGTTCTCATTAAAATCAGCAAAATCATCTAAACTGATTTCAAATTGATGAAGGTTTGGCTATTTTTTCAATTTTTTAGACACACTTTAAGGTCGATTTTTTGTAAAATTTAATCCAGCACTAGTTGAATTTGTGTAAAAACTATTGGATTTTAAATTTTTAGGAGATTGAATTTATTGAACACAAGGAGACTTTAAAATTTTATTACTTTATGATATTTTATAAAGCTCTTATTATTATTTTTAAATAATTAATTGAGACTATTCAATTTCTTTTTTAAATTCATCATTTTATTTCGAAAGGGCTTTTATTTTTTAATCTTTTTCTTAAACTTTGTAAGTACACTACTATTATATTTATGAAAATTTATTAACCAGAGAATTGTATTGTTATTTAAGTTATTCAGAATTCTATTTCGAAGTTTATTAAGTTTAATAACCTTCTTTAATCATTTCTAACATAGATTCAATTTAACTTTATGCTTATTGATTCACCTAAAGTAAGGAGTTATTAATAATTGTTTTAATTTTATTGATTTCATCACTTTTATCTGAGTTTATTTTATCAATAAGTTAATGAGCTTATTATAATTAGGTTTGATATTATTATTAAATTGTATTAAATGATTGTGTAATAATTTATTCAGCTCTATTTCGATCAACTTTTTATTCTAATTTATTTTATAACATTTAAAGTTCTTATCGAAAATGTTGTTCATCTTAATTTAATCTAATTGTGGTATTAGTAAGAATATTTTTAGATAAATGTTAATTTTATTTTAATATATTTTCTAAATCTGTTTTCATATTATCCACTTAGGTATTTAGATTATTTTATAGATTGATTACTTTTCTATCAATTTCTTCCATAAAATATGATGTATAATCATTAAGTTAAATGTTTAGATCAATTCCTTTGATTTAGATTTAGATCTCCTCTTAAAACTTTTTGAATTCGATTTCAAATTTCTCTTTTAAATTTGTATAGTCATGTAATTTTTGTGATAGTTTATTTTGTAATTGAGACACTTATTCTTATAAATCATGAATAACTTAATTTTTTTAATTAATTTCTTAGATATACTTTTATTATAGCTCTAATTGAGTATGGTTATATTCTACACTGGTTGTTTTTTTATGTTGTATGGGGATACTTTCATTAGGTAAATTTTGAAATTATTGAACAAAATGTTATTCTTGATGAGGAACTCTTGTAATAGCAGTTGGACTTGAAGCTCTAACATAATAAAATTAAAATACCTTGGTTAAGTTGGAAAATATGCATAAGTCACTGGTTGAGTCTCATGATTGGATGATAGACATCTAATAACTTAACGAGTATCAAATGCATTTTTAGTAGAGTTTGGTCTAGGTACTCTTTGATTATTAACAATTAAAGGGTTTGCAATTGTGCAAGCAGGAGATCTTGAAGGCTTCATTATTAACGAATTAAAAAAAATATAAAAAATAGTACTAAAAAATCAGAAATTATCAGTTCCTATTGTGATTAACTTAAAGAATTATTTTAATAAAAAATTAATTAATAAAAATTTAGAATGAGAAAATACAAGAAAACTGTTTAAGTAGAGGAAAATGAAATACAATAGATTGTTCATTAACATAAATAATCAATTTCTAATAAAATCTATTAAATATTATCACAATGCACAACTGAAGGTTAAAATATAACTCCAAATTAATTTGCAAGAAAATGGTTATCATAAAATGCAACAATACGGACCGATAAAATTCTTGCTGGAACTTATTCTTAGCAATATAATAATGGTTTAGAAATAAGAAACTCCAATATCAATTACCATATTGTTACTGCTAATTTATTTACAGACAATCGTTGGAATTATAAGATTATGAGTAAAATTCTTAAATTTATAATTTAGCAAAATTTGCATAAAATGTATTATAAAAAGATATTGATACTATTCTCATATTGGCTTACATGTAAACAATAATATAAGGATATTTTTCTTAAGCAGATTAATCTATGATAACTAAAATAATACATCTTGATCATCTTGGTCCTCTTCAAGCTTTCTTCTATACAAAAACAGATAAAAATATATCTCTTTTTTGGGAAGTTGGAATTGATAAAATTCCAAAGTTGGCTCAACATGGTAAGGAATATTTGAAAGAATTATAAGGTTATGATTATTTGCATACAATTACATTTATTGATATTAGATATGATGCTAATATTGATTATAATGCAAGCAAAATTATTACATCTTATTATTAAGATGTTTAAAATGCCATTCATAGATAAGATTATTAGTAAGTAATTACATCTTCCAACAATCATTAGATTAAAAAAAATAAACATTCAGATTTTTTATTTTAAATAGAAGCTAATGATTTAGGAAGTATGCATGGAGAATTGTTATATAGAGAAAAACTGAATTAAATTATTAGATGGTTACCAAATTCTTTTCCAACTGTTTATTTAACTAAATAAGAATAGAAATCTTTTATTTATGATGATTCAATATAAAGATGGGTTAGTAAAGACTATGAAGCTATTTAATAAGCTAAAAGAATGAGAGAATATTAAGCTAAGATTAATAAAGATTTATTAAAAAGATATGCTGATTTTTCATCAGCAGCAAAACTTGTTGAGTTATTACAAAGAGTTCCGAATTTTAAAATAAAATTAACTGAAGAAGAAAAAGAAGTTGTTGGATCAGATGGAAATGTAATGGTTATAGGTAGAAGTGGAACAGGAAAGACTACTTGTTCAATTTTAAGATTATTTGCTATGGAAACATTATTTAAATTAAGATTAGAATTATATAAATAAAAACATGAGAATGTACTTTAAAATTATAAATATGATGATTAAGAAGTAAATAATAATGTTGGTTTACATTGTGTTTTTGCTACTGCTAGTCCTGTATTAACAACAGAAGTAAAAAGATATTATGGAAAATTGACAGCATAAATAAAAGCAGAATTAGAGAAGAAGAAATAAAAAGATAGAGTAAAACGATTATAATAGGAATAAGAAGCATAAAAATAACAAATTGAGAATTAATTTAATTAAAGTACTGTTTAAATTGTAGATGCTAAATAAGTTGAAGAAAAGTATTTTGAATAATAAATTGGAGAAATTTAATTATAAAAAGAATAAGGAGGATTTTAAGAAGAATTAAATGAAGAAGATTGGGAATAAGAAGAAGAGAAATTAAAATAAGAATTAAATGCTTTTCATTCTTTTGCAGATATGAAAGATTCAGATTTTCCAGCTTTTCTGACAATTAAAAAATTAGTATTATTAGTTGATGGTTCATTAGCAAAACCATTCTTTTCTCGTACTTAAGATAATAAAATTTTAAGTTCTGATACACATGCTTAATGGAGTACTGAAAATACTGGAGTTATTTTTATAAATTCATATAGAAGAGATGAAGATTAAGATATTGAATATGATGATGAAGAATATGAAGCTTTATTTGATGAAAATGAATTGAATGTTGATGATATGGATGAATAATAATTAGAAGAAGAATATTAAAGACAACTTTATTTAATGAATAAACCTTAATTATAATCTAAAGTTGAGAATAATAAAACTAAATTATCATAAGAAGTAGATTTTGATTTTTTCTTGAATAATTTTTGGTATAGCAAATATAACAAATACTAAAATACAAATTTGAATCCATCATTTGTTTGGACATAAATTTATTCTCATATAAAAGGAGCAGCAGTATGTCATACTTATCCTGGACATTATATGCCTAAAAGAGTATATTTAAGATTAAATAAAAATGATGATCTTTTTGATGACATTTTTGAGTGTTATATTCTATATGAAAGATGGAAGATTTAATAAGGATATTATGATTTTATGGATGTTGTTAATCACATTCTTATTTAATTGGTATATGGAAGATGTAATCTAATTCCTATTCATTATTTAATGATTGATGAATGTTAAGATTTACCTCATGCTGTTTTACTTTTATTATGTAAAATAACAGAATAAGGTTTATTTTTCAGTGGTGATACAGCATAAAATATTGCTAAAGGAGTTGGATTCAGATTCTAAGATCTAAAATCTCTTTTTAAAAAACCAGAAATTTCTTATAATGCAAAATAAAATGATTTGAAAATACATCAATTAACAATCAATTTTAGATCACATAATAATATTCTATAATTAGCCAACTCTTTAGTTTCTCTATTAGAGATCTTCTTTCCAAATACTATTGATAAATTAAAAAAGGAAAGGTCAAATATTTCTGGTCCTAAACCAATCTTAGTTAATGGAGATAAAGAAGCATTATTTTATTTATTGTCAGGAGAAACAACAAATTAAAAATAGTAAGTAGGAGAAAGATTACCTATTGAATTTGGTTGTAATTAAGTTGTTTTAGTTAAGGATTAAGAATCAAAGAAAAATATTCCTTCTATTTTATAACATGCTTTAGTTCTTACTATTTATGAAGCAAAAGGTTTAGAATTTGATGATGTTATTTTATTTAATTTCTTTTAAGATCATTAAATAGGAGATACTTAGTGGAAATTACTATAAACTTGTGAAATTTTAGATGAAGAAATTTCTAAGGAGAAATTTAAAGATAGTTGTACATAACATTAAAATTTAGATGATGAAGCAACTATATTTTCAGGTTTTGAAGAAAAAAATGGTAATATAATTGTTAAAAGAATCTTTACTTAAAATAAATTTTATGATGAATTAACATATAATTATAGTGCTTTATGTAATGAAATCAAATAATTATATGTTGCTGTAACAAGACCTAGATAAAGATTAATTATATATGATGAAAATCCATAAGCTAGATAATATGTATAAAATATTTGGTAAAAATTAAATTTGATAGATCATTTTACTGGAACAAATATTCAAGATAGAAATTTAGAAAGCTTTGCTAAATAAACTTCGAAAGAAGAATGGAAAAAATAAGGTTTAAAAATGTTTAGGAATAAATATTATGAATAAGCTGAAAAATGTTTTGAACAATCTCAAGATTAATTACTATATATTAAAGCTCAAGCATTCAAATTTGCAACTGAAGGAAATGCACTTATTTAATAATATTCTTAATTATCATCTAGTACAATGAAAAAGAAAGAAAAGAAATTACAATTATCATTAGTAAAATAATAGTAGAAAGAGAAATTTACAAAATCTTCTTAATTATTTATACAATTACAAAATTATAAATAAGCTGCTTAATGTTATTATTCAGGTGAAATGTATTAAGAAGCATTATAAATATATGCCGATTAATAAATGTTTAATGAAGCTGGAGAAGCAGCTTATAAATGTGAAAAATATTATGAATCAGCTGAATATTTCTTAAAATCTTAAGATTTTATTAGAGCTGTAGATGCATTTGAAAAAGCAGAAGCATATGAAGAAATATTTAAAGTACTTCATTAAATGAGAGATTAAATCCCAGTTGAAACGAGATCTGCTTTCTTAAAAAAATATTTACCTATTATTTTAAATAAAATGACTAATTAAATTGGATAAATTGAATAAGATCAAGAATAGTAAGTCAAAACTTAAGAAAAGAAACCTATGGTAATTGAAGAAAGTTCTGATGAAGAAGATGAAGATGAAGAATAAGAATAATAAGAAGTTATCAAACCTTAATTAGAAAAGATTAAGAATGAATAAGATATATAATAAAAAGTAGAAGAAGAATAAGCATCAATAATATTATAATAATAATAAATACTCAAATAAAGTGAAGAATAATAACAAGAAAAGATTATTGAATTAAGTAGTTAATTAATAAAATCATTACCAGATTAATCATAACCTTCTATTTATGTTAAATAAGGAAGTATGAATAATAATTCTGAAAATTCTGAATCATTTTCAGTCCAAAACACATAAAGTTTTTAAGTTGAACAAAGCAAAGTTGAAAATAGTTAAATAATTAGTGTTGTAGAATCTGAATCATTTTAGGTTGAGAAAACATTAAATGAAGAAGATTAAGAAGATTAAAATTTTGAACATTTATCCCATTTTGATCCAGAAGATTAATGGTTGAAAAATGATAATAAATCTATTATTGAATCTATTGCATCAAAGAAAAGTGAATCATCAGACTTTTCTGCCTTTTCATATGCTTAAATTTATAGTAATCCTAATGTTTAATTTGTTAAAACTAAAACAGATATTTTTATATAAGATACAATAATGTAATAAATTATTAAGTATATTTCAATGTTTTCTGATGAATTCAAATATCAATTGTATAATTAGAGAAGTAAATCTGCATAACTTAGTAATAAATAAATCAATTAACATGAATTTGATTATATGGTTGATTTTATCTTAGATTTAGATTTAGTAGATATATCTTTTATTTATTTGGTTTTGGATATTTTAGAATAATTTAAAAATTATAAATTATGTATTTTTGTTTGCAATAGATACAAATTAGCTGATCAATTAGGAAGATATTTAGTATCAATCGCATCAACATATTCACCAATTGCATCTCATACAGCAAGTCTTAATGTTTCCTATTTAATTAATGGAAAGTAAAGATAAGCCTAAATAGATAAAGGTTTAGTTGCAGCTTTTGCAGTACATAATGTCTTTGAAAACATAAATCCAGAGTTTATATCTTTAAAATTCAATGATACTTAATTGACATCTTAAAACTCATTAGGTTTAGAATGCTATTCACAATTACTTTTATTAGGTTTCTGGAAGAAAACTGTTTATTAAATGGATGTTAAAAATTCATTACTAGTTTGTAAATTGTTTATGGATTTCAAAAATTCAAGGTTTATCTATTACAGTAATTTATGCCATTAGATAACTAATAAGATAGTAGAAAATGAACAAAAAGATAGAGATTTAGCGTAGGTCTATTAAACAACATTATTATTAATCTAAAAGAAATTAGATATTTGTTTCTCCACTATGATTAGAGGTGTTGATATGTTAATATTTGCTTATCCAAAAGATTAATAAGAAATGGAATTTGCAATCATCACTTTGGAACAATATTATAGTGAATTAATTTCTTAACTTGTTTTAAATCAAAAAGCTCCTCAAACTTTATTTTTTAGAGCTAATACATTAGACATTCAAAAAACTGTTAAAGTTGAATTAAGTCCTAAATAAAATCTTCCTAAAATTTATTCATTAAGTGAAGAAGTTATCAATTGCTTGATAAATAAAACAGAAGTTCCAGATGAAATTTTGAATAAATTATGTGACATTGTACTGAATTACAAAAATTATGATGAATTAGAAATATATCAATCTGTATTTCTACTCATATTTTATTGTTAATATGTTGTACATAATTCTGGATTAGTAAAAACTCATTTTTGGATCACCTAATTAGATGTGAAAGTCTATGCTAAATTAATAAAATCTGTTAGATTTATTAAGTCTTTGTTGAACACCAATTAGGATTGTCTCTAAAAGTTAAAGAAAATAGTTTCTAGAAGTGTGTTATTTTATTTCAAAATCAGAGAACCAGATAATGTTGCTTTACTTAAACCATACATTAATTCATTAATTATTAATAGATCTTCTGTAATCATTTAAGGTTTAGTTGAGAACAGACATAATTTATAATTAAAAGGAAATAATATAGTTTTAGATGATTATTATTTTGTAGATATAGATTTTGAATTTATCAGTGCCCCAAGATCTTCTGTGATGTTTTTAATTACTAAAAAGTTAAATAGTGAGTTGAATAATATCAGTTTTATAAGGAAAGCTGCATTTGAGGAATATCATTTTGATTAATTGTATCCACATGAATATGAAGATCATTTTGAGAATTTGAGTATCTATTAATATAGTAGAACAAAATACACTTAGTAACTAAAATAAAATTAATAATAAAGAGTAAATATTAGCTTAACTACTGTTAATGATTGGATTTCAAAGGAATAAGAATAACTTTACTAAAAATAATAAGAAGATTTTAAAATGAAGCATGGATTTAAAGTTGAATAAACAGATGAACAACTTAATGTTAAATTTTTGTTTAAGAATAATAAAGGTTAATTAGCCTAATAAATTTACTTTTTAAAAAACCCTTATCTTAAATGTCAATTAGCAGAGTCAAGATGTTTTATAATTTAACATGCATTAAAAAAGATTAATAAATAGTTTAATGATTCATAAACATTCCATTGTGCTATGGTAAAATTCATTCACTTAATGAATTATGCAGATTGCAATCACATTACTTATTAATACCTTAGCCATAAAATTAAATAAGGATAATGTAATAAATATGAACCTTATCTTTAATATCTAGAATGCTTAATCTGTAAGAAATTTAATGTAATTTCTGACGCAACTGATCTTTATTTTGCTTATCAAGAAGAAAGATATGATTTATTAACTCCAGACGAGCAATATTATTAATTAACATATTTATTCATAAATAATTTAGTAGGGTATTTACTAAATAAAAAAAATAAATGTCAAATAAAAATTCCAAATAGATACTTTATTTATTTCGATAAAATTACTTAATCTTAAGACTAGGTATATTTATATGAGACAAACTTCCATCCTGTTTAAAATTAAGAAGGTATAGCTAACATAATAGAATAATTAGTAGAAATTTAAAAAAATTTAGCTGAAATCTATAGTTTTAAGATAATGTTGTTAATTTACACATTAGTTCTGAATTTAGATGATATAAAAGTTAATGTAATAAATTAAATTAAATAAATAATAAATGATGTAAGTGCTTAAGATGAACAGGAATAATATGCATAAATAATGAAAGTAATAAATCTACCTTAAAAGGAAAGATTTGATGCCTTAACTATAAATAATAATGCAATTAAATTATTTTTCGCATAAGATGTTAGATTGTATACTTTAAATGTTGTAAATAAATTAACAGATTAAACAATTGAAGCAGCATATTAGAGTTGTTTAGATGAATGGTAAAATATTTAAAAGAGAAGTGAAAATCTTGAAATTAAAACCAGAAAAATAGTTGCTGCATTTTAGGCAAAGAGAAAAGGAGAAAAATTCTTTAAGCCTTTCTAATATGATTTTAGTGAATATGATTTACCAAGGAAATTGAAGACATCAAAATATGTTGATATAATAAATGAATTTATTAGAGTAAGAAAAATATTATTGACTACATTTTATTCAATGTTATTGACAAACTCTATTGATTTCCACTTTATATCGTAATAATTAAAACATTTAGATCAAAAAGAAGTTGAGTTTAATTAATTATGGAATAAATACTTCAGCAGAAAGATGATTTAATCAGATTTTATTAAATAATATGAAGAATAGTATAAAAATACATCAATAATAATTGAAACATTGTTAGAATGGTAAAAAAATAATGTGACATTTGAGTAAAATGCTAATAAATTACTTGAGAGAAACAGAAAATTATTAGCATTGAAATGGATGAATAATAAAGCAGGATTGGCACTTTAAAAGATTTAAAAGAGAAAGAAGGGTTTAAAGAGATAGAAATTATAAGAATAGAAAAAGCTATTCATGAAATTATTTTGATAGAATAATAATAATATTTATATTTTTAGAATATCAACATAGAAATAACAAACATATGATAATTAAATTATTTCAGTGTCTTCTAGATTATTCAAATTAAGGATTTTTTCTTTGATTGATGATTCCAAAGAGACCTTTATTCATAGTTTATTTAATGTTAATTTCTCTAGCTTTAACTTCTTCTAAGTATTTAACTTGTGGATCAAAGTTTCCAAATTTCCTAAGTTCTGCTCTAACATCTTTGATTTGAGGTTTAGAGAGATCTGTATTAAAAATATAATGGATTACGTTCAAGGAGTAAAAGAACATCTTTTAAGACTTCATCATTTTATTGTCCATCATAAGGTTTAATGAAGATACCATTGTCTTAATATTAGTACATTCTTTCAGGATCAGAATCAACAACTACAACTCTATTAAGAGGACGATTAAGATATTTTAAGTCTCTGATATATCTTCCTTTTTCAAATACCATTGATTCTCTGCCAAAAGCACCAGCAAAGATTTGTCTTGTAGGATCTAATTTTTGAGTAATTTGTTAAGTAAACTGTATATTGATTAAAAATACCATAGTTTCATCATCACTTAAAATTACAACCTCATACATTTTAGGTAATTTATCAAGGAATCTTTATAAACCATTTCTTCTTTTGATTTCTCCTCTAATAATAATTAATTTTTAAATGTATTACCCTACACCAAAAACGTAATCCATATGCAATAAAGTACCTGATACATTAAGTACTAATGTTTTAGGTATTTCATATCCAAAAGGTAACTCAGGGATATCTGGCAATAATTTATCAATTGCTGGCTTAGTCATAAACTACAATATTTAAATAAACTATTTTTACATCATAAAATGCTTAATATTAATCTTGACAATATTTTGCTAAATCATTTATTTGTTTCTAATAGCCTATATCATATTTTTTAATAATACCCAATTCATTTGTTGGATCAGTTTTATAATTATTTAGATATAAATTATAGCCAAATAAAGCAGAACTTGTCCACCAAAATATTCTTGAAAATAATCTAAAGTATGAGAATGCTTTCTCTTTATTTTCCAATTTGGGATTTGCTTCTTCAGCTTCAAGAGTTCTTTCTTCCCATTCATCTTACTCTTACTCTGTTTTTTGTTTTTAATTCACTTAACTAAACCTATATCTTTGGAATTTTAATAGAGTTAATGATCTAATTGAGTATTTGCTTAACATCCGTAATTAAAATATAAATTATCAAATAAATATATGTTCAATTTTATCCACCTTATTTGATATCCTGATAATGCTATAATTACCATAAAGTAATGGACCAACATTAACTACTTTACACTAATTTACCATTCTACTTCCAACTCCATCATGTGTATGTCCATGAACATTCAATATGATATTCAATTTCTTCTTAATAAAATTTGATAATGAATCACTTCCAGATCTGATTAGATTATCCCATCCATTTTCACTACTGATCGTTGTTTAACTCTCACTTGGACCTATATGAGTCATTAATATGATATTTCCTACTTCTGGTACATTTAGTTTCTCTAAATCTTATTAATATTCCTCATCACTCTTGTATGGATATCCTTACCAAATCAACCCTTACTTATTAAATCCTTATTATACATTTCTATACTACCTGGTATACTTCCACCTAAACCAACTATCCATAAATCTTCTCCTATCTATAATGATTTCTTATGAACATTTGTAAACCCCTCCTCCATAAAATTATCCTCTAGTAATTCATTACTATCATGATTCCCTGGAATTAAATAAATTTAACACCCAAAACTTTTAAAAGGATTCAATAACTTTCTTAAATTATCTAAATTTGAATCCTCTCCTTATGTATGTTACAAATTTAAAAAATCTCCTAATAAAAATACAGCATCGAATTTCTAATTCTTTTCCCTCTCTATCAATTATTGAACTGTTTCAAAATTTAGATGAAGATCTGAAGCACATAAGATTAATTTTTAGTTATTTTACATATAATTAATATTAACATCTCCATTATTATTATTTTATAATAAAATAATTAAATTCAATAATAAGTGTTTAATTTATATATTACCAAATTTATATTCTCATTTTTTATTTGGCTTTTTACCCTACTTTTTAAGTTCTGCTAATTTCTCAGTTTAAAAGTTTGGATTTCCTGATGCTTCATCTAACATATCTTCTGCAGAACTTGTATCTATTCCTTCAATATTTAATTAAGAAATTTGATCAACACACTTTTATAATGTATCAATATCAAAGTTTTATAAAGCTGTGTTTATTTTTTCTTGAATTATTGCAATCCTCCAATTATTAATAACTTATTTAGCTGCATTCACCAACACTGGATCCAATTAAGAAGGATCAGCAATCAATTTTTCAATATCTTCTGGATTTCCTACTTTATCTGATTTACATAACTATATAAAAATTAATTAAAATATTACATCAAATAATTATTACTCTTTTTTCATTAATTAAGTTAAATCTTATTTGATACAATCTCTTTATTAGAATATATCTGTAAGTTCTTATTTGTATGATGATCTATAAGATTGAAATTCATTAATTAGAATTTCTTTATTATCCCTAAAAGTCTATAAATAATAGATACTTTTATAGAAGCTTAATTTCTTCTCTCATTTTAAGATTTCTTTAAATTATTCCAGCAATCTCTTCCTTACCCATTAAAATTCCTTCTACNTTATTAATATTCCTCATCACTCTTGTATGGATATCCTTACCAAATCAACCCTTACTTATTAAATCCTTATTATACATTTCTATACTACCTGGTATACTTCCACCTAAACCAACTATCCATAAATCTTCTCCTATCTATAATGATTTCTTATGAACATTTGTAAACCCCTCCTCCATAAAATTATCCTCTAGTAATTCATTACTATCATGATTCCCTGGAATTAAATAAATTTAACACCCAAAACTTTTAAAAGGATTCAATAACTTTCTTAAATTATCTAAATTTGAATCCTCTCCTTATGTATGTTACAAATTTAAAAAATCTCCTAATAAAAATACAGCATCGAATTTCTAATTCTTTTCCCTCTCTATCAATTATTGAACTGTTTCAAAATTTAGATGAAGATCTGAAGCACATAAGATTAATTTTTAGTTATTTTACATATAATTAATATTAACATCTCCATTATTATTATTTTATAATAAAATAATTAAATTCAATAATAAGTGTTTAATTTATATATTACCAAATTTATATTCTCATTTTTTATTTGGCTTTTTACCCTACTTTTTAAGTTCTGCTAATTTCTCAGTTTAAAAGTTTGGATTTCCTGATGCTTCATCTAACATATCTTCTGCAGAACTTGTATCTATTCCTTCAATATTTAATTAAGAAATTTGATCAACACACTTTTATAATGTATCAATATCAAAGTTTTATAAAGCTGTGTTTATTTTTTCTTGAATTATTGCAATCCTCCAATTATTAATAACTTATTTAGCTGCATTCACCAACACTGGATCCAATTAAGAAGGATCAGCAATCAATTTTTCAATATCTTCTGGATTTCCTACTTTATCTGATTTACATAACTATATAAAAATTAATTAAAATATTACATCAAATAATTATTACTCTTTTTTCATTAATTAAGTTAAATCTTATTTGATACAATCTCTTTATTAGAATATATCTGTAAGTTCTTATTTGTATGATGATCTATAAGATTGAAATTCATTAATTAGAATTTCTTTATTATCCCTAAAAGTCTATAAATAATAGATACTTTTATAGAAGCTTAATTTCTTCTCTCATTTTAAGATTTCTTTAAATTATTCCAGCAATCTCTTCCTTACCCATTAAAATTCCTTCTACAATTTCTCTTTTTTATACATCACTTCTTACATTGATTAATCCAGCATGTCTAGCATAATGATCCATAATCCTATCTTATTCTAAATGTTATAGAAATTAAGTAATTGCTTCATTAACATGATTTTCAGATTTAGGTATTTATCTTTATTATGGAACAGTTTCAACAGGTGCCTCAACTTTTGTTTATTTACCAGTTTTTTTATCATCTTTTTTTGGACCCTTTTTTTAAGCAGCTTACTTTGCTTCCTCTTCTCTTTGCTTTTTAGTCATTCTTGGTGCATTTACAAGTGCTTATTCATCAGGTGTTAATTCTTCTTTTAATGTAAGTAAATATTTAGTTCTAGACTTTTTAGCATTAACAGCTCTTCCTGGTTCTTTATCTTCCCAAGATTTTTTTATAGCTTTTTCTTTGTCTTCTTTTGTTGTATCTCTAACTAATGCAACAGTATCAGAAGCAAAAATAGTAGTAAACCAATATATATTATCGGTTTCTTCAGATTTAATTTTAGCTTCTGGCCATTCTCTAAGATCGAATGAAGCTTAGATTACGTAATTTTCATCTTTAGGTAAAGCAATATTAGAAAGTGTTACTGAATTGATTCCATAATTATAAACAATAAGATCTTCTCCATGATATAATTCTAAACGAATAAGTCTTTCTCCTCTCATTTCAGATTCAACAATTTCTAATTCTTAAGGTCCCCCTTTAGTTTGTTTTCCTTTAGCTACTTATTATTATTATTAAGCTTATTGTCCTTCAGTTAATCTAACATAAATGCTAGCATAAGCATCATTTGCAAAGATTCTTTCTCTAAAAATGGTACCATATTTAGTGGGAATGTATTTGTCATAATAACGAGTAGGTTCAACATTCTCTAATAATGTGAATGTAAATTCTGAATTGACTAAGAAATCTAACTCAAAAGTTCCTTCTTAAGTATTATATAAAGGAGTTCCTTCTAGGATAAAGTAATAATTAGTTTAACTTCTAAGCATCATTCTTTGTGTACCGTTAATGATGGATTCACTTTCAAATAGATTTTTGTGAACACCTTCAATAGTTGTAAGCATTAAATTATTATCAGGTGGTGGAATTTCACACAATTTTATTTTGAGAAATTTTAACAATTAATTATCAGTAGTACTTTTTAATCTATAAACAAATGAACCATTATCTTTAGGTGAATTCAAGAACACTTTGAATCTAAAATAGACATAATATCTATTAGCTTCACATTATGGATAATCAATTTAAAAAGATTGTTTCTAATAATTTTCATAATCAATTAAATAGTCAAAAACACTTTGAGTAATTATTTTATTATTAGATGCTAACCACATAGTAAAATTAAGTGGTGAATATATATTCATTTTGAAAATATGATTTTTATTATCTAATAACAACATCTAAGAACTAACACATTAATTAAGTAATTTATAATCTAAAATAGATTCATATGTTTCTAGATCAAAGCGTTATAGCATAGAATATGGTCTTATTTATTAATTAAGATCTTTATCTTGAGAATATTTAGGTTAAAATCCATAAAGGAATGAAACTTATGCATTATCATCAGCATCTGGATCTCTTTAAACAATGATCATTTCAATATTATCATAATTAGTAATATCATTATCAGGATTACTTTGAATTTGTAAAAGTTATAGATTATATCGTTTTGGATCATAAGCTATTTGAATATATTCGAAAAGACTTAGAAATTCTTTTTCATGTACCCAGAATCCTCCTTCTCCTCTATTAAATGGTTCTTAAGCATTTGCAACAGATGAAAAATCCTCTAAAGGTTTTACAGTAAAACTATCATCAGTATTTTTTGGATTAGCTGAAACTACAGATTTATCATCTCCTTTTATTTCTGGAATATCATAATTAGGTGGCTTATTAAGTTTATTTACTACACATTTTTTAGCTATATAAATTTCATCAGCTGCTAAAGGACTGAAAACTATTACTGGATCTTTACCTTAAACATCACTCTTTAATCTTAAATATCTATGCTTAACTGGTTATTAACTGATTAAAGATATCCTTTTTTTATCATCATCTTGCAGTTTTTCTTTTATTTCTTTCTTTCTTCTTCTCAATTCTAATTTCTCTTCTTTAGTCATTTTATTCATAGGAGTCTTACACAAATCAAAATATTCTTATCTCAATCTTAATTCTCTATCACTTCTCTTTTATGCATATACCATATTAAATCCAGTCTCATTTTAAAATTATTCAACTATTGAATATGAAAAACAAGTATTTAAATTTGTATTTCCAGGAATCTTTAATGATTTAGGTATAGAATATGATCTACTCAAACTTTCAAATGAAAATCCTCTTTATGTTTTTCTAAATCTTTATACTTTTTCTTAACCATCATCTTACTACATTTCTTCTTATTATTCCTCCTATTCATCTTATTATTATTAATGTTATGATGGAGAACCATGTTTATTTCGACCAATTTCATAATTTTCAAATTCTTTTTTAGGATTTCTCAATAATTCCAATTAAAATTCTTTTTTTGACCTATTATTTGTGTTTAAATTTGATTAATTTTTATAACTATAAGTAGATACAAATACATCTTTTTAAACATAATGATTATTATTCATCATATTATCAATTATACCCCAACTATTAATTGTTTTTAAATCTATAGTTTCAGTCAATAAACCCATTAATGAATACATCACAAATCCATCTCCTACTAAACTTCCCTTACTTTAATAATCCCACAATTATAAAACTGCTTTACTTATTATCATTGGCCATAATTAATTTTTATCAACACTTTAAGGTAATAAAGCTTAACCATCAAAAGTTGTTGGCATATGATCAGATACCTATATTTTTCTCTCTTTTCCCATAAAATATAATTTCACTATATATTTTCCATTTGGATTATAAATAGGTGCACCATCTTTTTAAGGGTAAATCTTGCTTGAAAGTGATTTCTAAGTATAACAATCTCTAATATCTCTATCCTTAATTTATTATAATTAGGATGCAATCCAACGAGAATTAGGTGGTAATGTATCACTACACATTAAATCACTTAATCTAACATCAGATGTCATCTTAGGATTTTCATCAAATACTTCCTCTGCTTATTTTTTACCAGCTTTCTTATTTTTTTATTAAGCAGCTTGCTTCTCTAAAAAGTCTTTTCTTCTCAACTCTACTTCATCTTGTGTTTCCATTCTCTCATAACTCTCACAAATTGTCAATTAATGTTCTACTTCCTTCTCCATATAATGTATTTTCTCTACTGTCTCCAATCTAGTTGAATAATAATCATCATTCATATTGTATCGATTTTCTCTCATATTCATGTAAGGTGGTTCATGTTCAGATTCTCTAACATCAATTATATTTATACTATTGCCATCTTTATCTTAAAAAATTCTTTGGTCTTCTCCAAAAAGCAACATATTTGTCAGTTTCAAAATTACACTTCGTTAATTAACTCTCACCTTATAAAAGATTTATGCCTTATATAACTTCATCACCTGGCCATTCTTCTGGGTCAGCAAATGCATGATATTCTTTTGTAAATTAACAATTTGCTTTACCTTACATACTCTACTTAGTTATTTATTCTGGTGCTTTTAAAGTCTTCGGATCTCTTGGTGGATTCTTTACACTCTATGGAATTACATCCTTTAATGGTGTTCCTACTTTGAATAATTGTCGACCCTTTTGATCTTTTGTTGTTTTAGGAGGCATATAAAATAAATAAATTAATAATCATATAAATAAATCATGTTTCCATACATATTGACTCTCTGTCTTTGTCTCTATGTTTAATATACCAATGCTGTATCTGATAACGTAGAAGTTATCACTTCATGTTGGCTTATCACATTGTAAGACAATCAAAAATTTAAGGTATTTTGATTAATGTATACATTTGTCTAGACATTTGATCATGTGGTTGAATCTGTAGCAAAGCGTTATTCATAAAATGATAAAGATAAGATTGTCCATGATATTAGAGTTTATATGATAAAAAAGTGTTTTTCTACCCTTCCTCTGGCTGATAGCAAATAAGTAAACATATATGTTAAACACGCGTTTTTTAGATTATCAAAGATTTTGAATCAGGATAATCTTTGCATGTAACATATAGAGAAGTTGTAAAGGGCTTTGATTACACTCATTATATTAAAGATCTTAAAAATAAAGACATAATTCCTAACCCATAATTGGACGACATCATCTCAACTATAGTGAAAAGTCTTGAAACAGAATTTAATAAAGATATTCAAAGTGAAATCCAATCTGAAGTTCCTCCTCTTGGTGTTTTTGGAATGAATTTCAATTACTTGATAGTGTTTCCAATTCTAGGAGCAATCTTTTTGATCTATTTTGTGATTAATGCAATTAAAGCTTTAAAACCAACCCCGAAAAAAAAGAAGTGAATTGTAATTAGATATTTTAATATTTAAATCTTTGAAATGAGTAAAAAGAATACTAAGCGTAAATAAAACAACAAAACAGAGAAGGATGACGATTACAGTGACATCTTTGAGGAATAATTACCTATAATAAAAAAAAAATCAAAAGAAGAACAGCAAACAAACCAAATACTCTTTGAATCGATCCGTAATCCAGAATAAGCAAATCTGATTCGTTGTCCAATAGAATCCATCAATATTGAATAGGTGCATTATATTCATTAATTAATTAGATTCTCTAAGACATTTTGTATGAGTCTTCAAAAGAGTCTCAATATTCTAAAACACTTAAGCAAATTCTTCTTATGGGATAAAGAGAATTGAAAGACAAACAAAAATATTACTAATTTAAATGGCAATCATTAGGACACTCAAATATTAATCGTCAAGAATATCAAAGATAAGAACAAATGTTAAAAGAATAATAATCTAAGGATATAGCTGAAATTTAAAATAATGTTATTGCTGAATTAGGAAGAAAACGAGTAAAAGGATTTCAATAAAGAGAAGACATTCTTGATGAATTTCGAATTAATTTTATGAAAAAAAGACATCTCACTCCAGATGGACCAGTAATGGAAGAATTCTAATTTTATGTTGATCCTGAAGAAGCAAATCGACTTAAGAGAGATCAAATTTAATTATTGGAGAAACTTATGGAAGAATCACATCTTATACCTGAAAATCATCCTACAGAATTAAAAAGATACTTTAGTCAACCAGATAATACAGGACATCAAACACGTTATTTATAAAGAACTTAAAGTAATTATATATAAAGGTAATAAATATTATTTATATTAATAGTAATAATGAATAACATTAAAGTGATGTTTAGAAATTATAAATATTCCCTAAATTATAAATTGATAAAATTATCAAAGAGAAAATGGAAAATATGACACCTAAAAAAATTGAAGTAATTGTTTATAAAATAACCCAAGCTTGAAGGAACTGCTCAAACTTGATGAGTAAGATTTTCAAGTTATTCCAAGAAATGTAAGAGTTATGCTTTTGGATTCAAAATCTGATGAATTATACACAGATAAAGATTTTTAATTAGATTAAGCTGAAAGATACATAGAAGTATTTAATTAATTGAAAGTATTATATCTTGTATATAAAGAACTAAAATTTTTATGAATTAGATCTAGAAAAGATGTTAGAACTTACAATTTATATTGTTAATAATACTCATTATTAATAAAAATTTAAATTATCTGAAGATAGAAAATAAGTCACTCCAAGAGAATTATTGAATTATATTGAAAAATTACAAAGATAATGAAAATTAAATATAAATTTTTACCAAATAAAACTGAAATAATCTCATAATCTTTAACATTTCCGGTATAGTCTAGTGGTTAGGATATCAGGTTTTCACCCTGGGGACCCGGGTTCAATCCCCGGTATCGGAAAAATTTTTTATTTATTTTTATTTATTTTTATTTATTTTTTAGTTTTGATTTTACATTTGATTAAAATCAAATTAATGAAATAAAATTAAATGATTCCAACAAATATTGTAGTATGTGGAGGTGGAAATGGTTCTCATGCAACAGTAGCATCAGCAGGTCGTTTTGAAAACATTTAAGTGAATGTCTTTACAAGAAAACCTTAAGATTGGAAATAGGAAATAGTAGGATTGACAAAAGGAAGTCCATGGGAATCACTTGGAAATTTTGTTGGTATATTTTTTTATGATGAATAATATAGGAAAAATTAATAAAGTTTCCAATAATCCTTAAGATTTTAATGGGGCTAAACTATGGATTATAGGAGGACCAGCTCATGTTCATCATGAAATATTATAAAAGATTGCTCCTTATGTGACTAAAGATTCTTTTGTAGTAATAAAATTATAGTAATTATAATAATAGGGTACATTATTTGCTTAAGGTGGATTTGAATGGATGTGCAGAAGCGTTTTTGGAGATAGAATCAAAACTGATAATATTACTTATTTTGGTCTATATAATATTCCATGGCTTTGCAAAATATTTAAATATGGAGAATCTGTTAGAATAATTGGACCAAAAACAAAACTTTAATGTGCAATCTCAAATCTTAGTAGAAAAGAAGAACTCTTTTTATTATTAGAAAATATGTTTTAAATACCTGTTTTATAAGCACCAAACTTTTTAACATTAACTTTAACTCCTAGCAATTAAATTATTCATCCTGCTAGAGTCTATGCTGTATTTAGAGTATTATTAATATATTTATTTTTAGAATTGGGATGGTAAATAAGTTTATCAACCTAATGAAGTACCTACATTTTATGAAGATTTTGATGATTTTAGTGCATATATGCTCCAAATTTTGGATGATGAAATCTAAGCAATCAAAAGGGAAATTCTAAAAAGATATCCTCAATTTAATTTAGATCTAATCATACCAATTAAGGAAAGAATTATTTAATAATATGGTGATCAAGTTAAAGATAAATCTAACTTGAAAACTGTTTTTAGAACTAATGCTGGATATGCTACTATTTAAATACCGACTAAACCTGTCTAAGGAGGTGTTTAATTAAATACTGAAGCCAGAATCTTTTGGGAAGATATTCCTTATGGATTATGTATACTTAAAGTAAATTTATATTTAATTTTAGGATCTTTCAGAAATGCTTGGTCTTTAAACACCTGGAACTGATAAAATGATTGAGTGGCATCAAAAATTCATGAATAAGGAATATATTCAAAACTCAAAATTGAATAGAACTTTATTAAAAGAAACAGGAGCTCCTTCTAAATATGGATTGGATACTTTAGAAAGAGTATTAGGTATTTAAGATGTTAACCAACAAAATCCTAAATTGTGAAGTTTATAAGTAGTCTAATAATAAACATAATTATTATTCATTATTTAATATTCTCAAACAATTACTAAAAATTAAGTCAAGCTAAAATACACTAACTTTAGGCTGAACTTAAAGTTTAAGATTCTGATTATATTAAAAAAATAGATCAATAATATCTAAAAGAAGAGAAAACCAAATTCAAGTAATACATCTACATGATTCAAATCTGATACTTGATTTGAGATTTTCTTATACAAAATTCTTGCTTTCTTTAATACTTGTCGAGTAATCTATAATTAAATAAATATCATAATTTTAATATTTTGATTAATAAATGAAAAATTTTATTTAAAAAAAATCTCTATAAGCATTGATAATCTAATTATTTATTTAACTCTGATTTTTCGTTGTTTAAATTATTTTTCAATCACTAATAAAGTCTTTTTCTTAATTATAGTTTGAAATTAGAATTTTTTTTTAAATCTTGGATATAAATTCTAAAACAATTTTAATGTCCTAAAACTGAAATGCTGATTTTGAAGTGAAGCTTTATTTATTAATATTTTGAACAAAAATTTTGAAACGAAATAAAATTTAAAATTATTCTACAATTTTCAGAAAAGTTGTAAATTAGAATGAGTATTCAGTCAAACAAAAACATATGAAAAGAATTATGATTAAATCAAAATTATTGTATATCAAATATTAATTTATCTATTACAATAAAATTTTTCTTTGTTGTTGTTAATTGAATTCCATGATTATTAACAAATTTTTGAAGACTATTGTTGTGACTCAATTATGTATAATATTCTCTTTAAAACAACTTTCTATCCATAATACTTCTATTGATAGGACCTAAAGGTTCACACTCTCTTTTGACATGACCCCATAAATGTTTATTTTTAATTAAAACATCTTTTACTTTAATTGGATTAAAAGTCAGTTCTTTAGGTTCTACTAATTTATTTATTTCAAATTCTTCTTCACTATCTGTATCAATTTTACCTAAACTTTACTATTATTTAATTTTGAAATCAAAAAGTTTTTTAGCTTAAACTCTAATTTAATCAGTATTGGAAAGGGATTCACCTTCCATAAATTTTTAATGAAAAGCTTTAGCTAATTATGATTCTTGTTTATAGTAATATATCTTGCCAATTAATTCATAAGCATTTAATTCATATTCATATTCTTTGAAACATAAAGCATATTTTAGGAATTTTTTGGAATAATTCAAAGATCTTCTTAGATCACCATCTAGAAGGTAAAGTTCAGCTAGAAATTTGTAAGCTATCATTTTATATTTGAATGCTCTATGACCATTGCAAAAGATAAGAAACTTTTACCAAACTTATATGGCTTTTTGAAATAAGTTATTAATTTGTAATACAAAAGCAAAAGCAAATACTCCAATATTATAAAGATTGCCTATTCTTGTTTGTTTTAAGTATCTCTTGATTATTTATAAAATTATACTTTAAAATAAATGAGAATCTTTCTTCAATATCTGCAGGATCATTATAATCAATTTGTTAAATTAATTTAAGAGCTTATTGTCTTCTATTAATATAGGGAGAATTTTCATCATCTAATAATTTAAAAATTCTTTTTTCATCTTTTAAGAAATNATATAAATTCTAAAACAATTTTAATGTCCTAAAACTGAAATGCTGATTTTGAAGTGAAGCTTTATTTATTAATATTTTGAACAAAAATTTTGAAACGAAATAAAATTTAAAATTATTCTACAATTTTCAGAAAAGTTGTAAATTAGAATGAGTATTCAGTCAAACAAAAACATATGAAAAGAATTATGATTAAATCAAAATTATTGTATATCAAATATTAATTTATCTATTACAATAAAATTTTTCTTTGTTGTTGTTAATTGAATTCCATGATTATTAACAAATTTTTGAAGACTATTGTTGTGACTCAATTATGTATAATATTCTCTTTAAAACAACTTTCTATCCATAATACTTCTATTGATAGGACCTAAAGGTTCACACTCTCTTTTGACATGACCCCATAAATGTTTATTTTTAATTAAAACATCTTTTACTTTAATTGGATTAAAAGTCAGTTCTTTAGGTTCTACTAATTTATTTATTTCAAATTCTTCTTCACTATCTGTATCAATTTTACCTAAACTTTACTATTATTTAATTTTGAAATCAAAAAGTTTTTTAGCTTAAACTCTAATTTAATCAGTATTGGAAAGGGATTCACCTTCCATAAATTTTTAATGAAAAGCTTTAGCTAATTATGATTCTTGTTTATAGTAATATATCTTGCCAATTAATTCATAAGCATTTAATTCATATTCATATTCTTTGAAACATAAAGCATATTTTAGGAATTTTTTGGAATAATTCAAAGATCTTCTTAGATCACCATCTAGAAGGTAAAGTTCAGCTAGAAATTTGTAAGCTATCATTTTATATTTGAATGCTCTATGACCATTGCAAAAGATAAGAAACTTTTACCAAACTTATATGGCTTTTTGAAATAAGTTATTAATTTGTAATACAAAAGCAAAAGCAAATACTCCAATATTATAAAGATTGCCTATTCTTGTTTGTTTTAAGTATCTCTTGATTATTTATAAAATTATACTTTAAAATAAATGAGAATCTTTCTTCAATATCTGCAGGATCATTATAATCAATTTGTTAAATTAATTTAAGAGCTTATTGTCTTCTATTAATATAGGGAGAATTTTCATCATCTAATAATTTAAAAATTCTTTTTTCATCTTTTAAGAAATCATAATCATCTTGAAAGACCCACGGTTTCTTTTTTTTAGAAATAGAAGGTAGACTAATTTGAGAGATGCTTCTAATACTTACCATAGTAGATTCATCGTTTTTTTATTAAGTTCTTGAACCTTTAACGTTTGGAGAACAACAGTAGATACTAAATTTCATAAATAATATATAACAATAATAATATTAATAAAAAAATTATAATAAGAAAATTATCAAACAATAGTCATAAATATTAGTTGCTGATTATAATTATAAATTAGAAGATGAGATATAAAAATAAGAGGAATATTTAAGGAAAACAGATAAAAATATTTAAAGCAAATGATTTAAATATTAAGATTCATTCTTATGAAACTAATTTTCCTTTTTCCCAAACTCCAATAATTTCAGTTCCATCTGCTTCTATTAAGACTCCTTTTCCATGTTATCTTCCATTATGCCATCCTCCTTTATAGGTTTTTCCATCCGCAAATGAAAAGATTCCATAACCTTCTTTTTTATCCTCTTTATAATCTCCAACATATTTATTACCATTAGCCCAATAAAAGGTACCTTTACCATACATTTAATTTTTAATCCATTCTCCAGTATAGATTTAACCATCTGGCCATTTATAAGTGCCGAATCCATCAATAAAATCTTTAGAATAACTACCTTCATAAGAATTCCCATTAGACCATATATATTTTCCTTAACCATGTTTCATACCACTTTAATATTAACCTGTATATATATCTCCAGATACCCAATTTTCTGTACCATTTCCATCTTTTTCATCATCTTTCCATTCTCCTACATATATATTACCATCAGTATCTACATTTTTACCAAATCCACATTATAAATCATCAAGCCAATCTCCTTCCTTAAATTAATGTATTATTAATCAATACATAATATGAACCATCACAACGTATTAATCTTCCTCTACCATTAGCTCCATGATTCTACCAATATCCTTCATAATAAGTTCCATCTGGCCAATATTAACGACCTTTGCCTTATTTTTATTTATTTCTCCATTGTCCTACATATATTATTCCAGTACTAATGAATTACTAATTTAGATTGATATAATAATTACATGAGGTGGTAAAGATATACAATCATTGAATTTTTTATTCAATTCAGGATCATACTAAAAAGGAGGAAGAGATTTCAATATTTTAATGACATTTAAATTTGTTATATCTGGTTCCTTCACTTATATTGCTATATCTGAATCTGGGGCATCATTATTTTTAAAAAGATAACTATCTGACTCTTATTAAAGAAAGCGATGTTTTAATGGTTCAACTTTTGTTAATTCATTTTTACTAAGCATTGATCTATCATTTAAATCAGATCTTGGGGAAGTGAACTAAATTAGTTAAAACCTTTACTCCACTATTTATTTAAGGCTTTGATTAATTTTCTTTGATTTGGATCTAATTTGTTTGTTATTAAACTTATTGGGATTCTGAGGCTCGACGTTATGTGTTTTAATGGCATGACACATTTGTACTTTATGATTATCGAGATTATATTTGTCGTTGTTATTATTATCGTTATTGATGTGGTTGCTTTTTAATACATGCTGAACCCATATGAATTTTAATTTATATATTATTATAGTATATTAACTAAATATATCATCTGATATACTGGTTCTCGTCTTTAACTTAATTTGATTACATTCTAGATTGATTCATCCTTGATTATTACATTATTGCTATTAATTCTAAATTATATTTTCATACATTAGGTTTTGCTTGTCTTATCTAACCTAGTTATTTCTTAAGTTTATTAACTCTCTAATTCTTTTCTTACATTTTAATACTTTTACAATAACCTAAAATTAAATTCATATTTATTTTACTTCTCTAATTCTTAAGATCTTATTTTCCTTTATTCTTCTTATCCACTTAATATTCTCTATGTTAAAGCATTTAATTCATTTATTTATTTCTATCTCAATTGTGTAATTAAATTTCTTATCTTCTATTATCTACAAGATGTCCATTTCTCATATTCATCTCTCTCTTACGCTTATATTCTTGATTGAATCACATGAGCTTCCAAATAACTAATATATTAATATTATTTAATACTTTTCTTATCTAGCCAATTACTCTTCAGTCTTTCTTAATGCCAAAAGTTCAGCAGAATCCTTTGGCCTAACTGGAAGTGAATTTTCTAACTCTTCTGAAAACTATCTTAATTCATCTTCTTATCTTTAAAGTGTTTATTCTTTCACCTTCTAAGCTTCACTATCAAATTCAGACATCTTTTAATCCCAAAACTAATTAAATTAATTAAATTCTTCCAAATGAGCTTTCTCAATCTCTTATTTCTCTGAACAATGTCTGTCCTTTACATCTACTTTATTTTTTGTATCTAACTCTTTCTTTAATTCTCCCAACCTCTTTTTAGCTTAATCTGCTTCCAAATACTTACCTGCTTTCTCACAACTCTTTTAATGATCATATAATATTTATCTAACAACTAATTCTATATTTTTACATATATTCCTCTATATCTCCTTATTATACTGGAAGGTTATTCGTGCCTTTTCTTGATGAAGTAGGTCTTTAAAATTAACTCATTATTGCAGAAAATTGGATTTTTAATATTAACGTTAAGAATTTATTTTATCACTTATATATTTATATAATTATATATTTTTCATATTCATATATTTATATATTTTTCATATTCATTATATTAAATATTATTATAAATAGATCAACTTAAATCCTATCCCTTAAATCTATACTTAATACAAATAGTTTTGTTTAACAAACTATGAATCATTAAAAAAACAAATTAAACAACAATCCATTTCAATTAATCATTATTGCCTGCAAAATCTTAATTTCTTATTACATCATATGAAATTGATAATCTCAATAACAATAAAAAAGGAATTAAATACGTTTCTTTTGGAGCGAACAAAAATTTACATAGGATTTTCTATTAGTTATATTAATTACTCATTATTTTGACATAATTGTTCGATCAAATGACAGATGAATTGTTTCTATTTTTCCATCTAAGTATATACAAGTTATGTTAAGCCACAAAGGATATTTTCAAAATATTCTAACAAACCATAATAAAAAACTATCTAATATTATATTTTAATTGTCAGGTTTCATAATCATGATAGAGAAACAAAAAAAAAAAAGAGAAATATAAATTTATTATTAATAATTTTAGCATAAATTTGAAACATTAATTTCCGCTTGACATTTAAATTTTAAGAAAAAAATTAAATTATAAAAGCTAAAGTACATTTGTTGTACGTCATAAGATTTAAGTTTAATATTAAATTTCTTTTATTTACGCTTATTTTACAAAAAAAAGCTGTTTGTTTCTTTATTTTATAAACTAATATAATATGTAAGATTAGTAATTGTTATTAATGAAAGTCAACTCAGTTGGAAATGATGTTTGATAAAACAATTTTTGGAAGGAATTTTCATAAAAAATATAAGGATTTAAAATAAGGTTATTTCGTCTTTGCATTCATCTAAGATAAATTACTTAGATAATAAGATAATGAATTGAAAAATTCTTTTTTTAGTGGGAGGAGTTTTAGTTTTTGATTTAACAGATAGATCATATTTATTTTTTAGATAGGAAAAGTTGATGTATGATAATGGATTAGATTTAAAATAAGCAGCAGTTAATATTATGAAAGATAATTCAAAATAAAAAAATTGAGAAGTAGATTGTTGAGATATCTCTTGTTTATACTAAAAAAGAAAGGATATGAAGAAATAATATTTAGTGCAACTAATAATAAAGTATAATTATAAAATTTAAGTTATTTGAAAGAATATTTGTAAAAATTGTAGATTAGATTGAGATTCAAAATCAAGAATAAATTTTTGAATATTTTAGATTGAAAATTTATTGATTATAACTTATATTATGTAATTGTAATCTAAAATGTTAAAAAAAAAAAGTACAATATAATGCAAATAGAAAAATGGTTTAATGAAATAGTTAAATTATACCGAAAAGAATCTAAAATAATTTAATTAATTTAATGATGAGAGCATATAAAAAAAATAATTAAATATGAAATTAGAATTAAGATTTCAATCTAAGAATGTTATAAGATTAATGATTACAAATAAATTTATTTAGAATTACATCATATTAATATTTATTTCTCAAAAAGCAAAATGGGTTAAACTTGTAAGATGAATACTTGTTGTACAAAGGAGGAAGTTTAAAATTTAAAAAATTCTGGAAGATCTCTAGAAATATAAATAAAAAAATCAAAACATTCATAACAAATAAAGAATGAATAGGAAAAAGAGGAGGATAAAACATAAAAAAAGAAAAGTGATACAGTTTCTGATTTAATGGCATCTTCATAACATAGTAAGATGTCTATAAAGTAAATTGAAAAGAATCTAGGATCAGAAATAAAAGATGGAAATTAGAATGCTTTGATATAGAAGAGTATAGGAGTTAATGATAGAATGAAGTTTCCAGTAAAAATGATAAATAATCAAGAAAATATTGTTACAAAATGGTGCATCATATGAAGGTGAATGGATTTAAGGTAAGAGAGATGGATATGGTAAATAGATATGGCCAGATGGTTCAGTTTATGAAGGTGAATGGAAGGAAGACAAATCTTGTGGGAAAGTAAATGGAATAATAAATTAATAGGGAAAATTAATTCATGCTGATGGAGATGTATATGATGGAGATTGGTTAGATGATGCAGCAAATGGTTTAGGATCATATATACATGTAAATGGAGCTAAATATTAAGGGGAGGTATATGTTTTTTAATTTATTTTAAGTGGTTAAATGATAATTAACATGGAAGAGGTATAGAAATATGGCCAGATGGAGCAAGATATGAAGGAGATTATTAATTAGGTAAAAAACATGGTAAAGGAAGATTAAATTTTGCAGATGGTTCTTGTTATTAAGGTAATTAATGTAGAATTTAAATAAATTAGGTGAGTTTTTTGATAATGAAATTTAAGGATTTGGAAATTATTAATGGCCTGATGGAAGATTATATGTTGGAGATTGGATGAAAAATAAAATGCATGGAAAAGGAGAAATTAAATGGCCAGATGGAAGACTATACAAAGGAGTATTTTAGTTTTAATAAAAGAGGAATATGATAATGATAAGAAACATGGTAAAGGAGTATTTATTTGGGAAGATGGAAGAAAATATATAGGAATTTGGAAAACAGGTAAATAATATGGAGTTGGAATTTATTATTCTAATGATAATGTTATGAGAATTGGAGAATGGGTTGAAGGAAAAAGAGTTAAATGGTATGATAAAGAAGAAATTATAGAATTAGAAAGAAAAGGTATAATAGATGAACTTCAAAATTAATGATTATATTTATTTATATTAACTACATTACTCATTTGAACTTATTTAATAAAGTTTATATGTCAATACTTTTTCTATCAGTAGGATCGAAAATTTATTCTTTATTTTACTTATGTTTTCTGGCTGCTTTTAATGGATTTCCTGCAAAAGCTTCATCAAGTCCAACTAATTCTGATGTTGGATCAGGCTTATTTAAATATTGATAGATTCTTACAGTATAATTATATTAAACTTATGCTGTTTGTGGTCGTTTTAATTTTGATTTTTCTAAAGGTTTTTATTTTATAGATAAACTCAACAACCTATTTTCATCTGGTTCTTCTAGAAGTTCTTTTTCTAACTAAGATTTGACTTTCTCTTCAAGATCTTTCAATTCTTCTACTTTTACAAGCTTTAAGACAATTTAATTAAAATACATCAAATTTTGAATCCATCATTTAAGCAATATCATAAAGTTATTAAATTTGATTTGTTTCTGAAATAAATTAAGATTCTGTTGGTATATCATTATCATCAATATATATTTCAGTTGCTGGTAATTTTTCATATAGTTTTTCTCTTAAATAATCCTCTTTGATTAATGGATTTGAACTTATGATTAATTATTGTAGATTTAAAGATTCTAAATAATCAATTTAAGACTCTTCAGCCAATTCATTACCTTCAATATCTAATATTGATATCTTTTCATGAAAAGCTAAAGGACTTATATCTTTTATATTATTAAATGAACAATAAAATTCAACTAGATTAGGCATACTCATAACTCCTAATAAAAATTAATTTAAATAATTTTACCTGAAATATCAGTCAATTTTGAATTGCTAATCCAAAGTATTTATAAATTTCTTAACTTAGTTCCTAGTAATCTCAATGATTCAATTTGAGAATGATTTAATTTTAATTCTTATAAATTTTATAAATACTCTCCTAGCATATAAAGAGAATCATTCATAGTATTAAATCTAAATTATATGGATTTAATTTAATCGAATTAGCTCTAAAAATATATAATTATTATATTATATACTTCATTTTTTTTAGTTATCTCTGATAAAGTATCTACATCCATTGTATCGTAAATCATATCATCTATTTTTCTTTTTGCTATTTATAATTAAAATATTGGTTCTGAGATTTGAGATTCCTACTATTTAGGTAGAGATAATTTCTTTGTTTCTACTTCTTCTTCTTTTTTTAATTCAATTTTTTTTCCTTATTATGTTAATGATGATCTCCTTAATATTGAAGGTTTAGTAACTATAGAGTTATTAAGACTTTATTCCTAATTTTAAATAATTGATTTATCTTCATCTTATTACTACTATTTTGCAGATGATAACCTTTTTAGTGCAAATATTGGAGGTTTTTATTCTTTTTATTCTTTTTATTCAAATTATAATTGTTCTGTGTTTTTCTATATTTTTTTAATCATAAGAGGTCTTGTTGGTTAAGCTGATGTAATTCTGTTTGATATTATTGTTTATTTAAGTTAAGAAATCTTGCTTTAATCTAATAATTTGGATGTATTTATTGATGAAGGAGGCTTTGATGAATTTGGTGTAGCTGTCTCTTTATAAAAATTAGATGTAGCAGTAGACATAGCATCAAGTTTACTTTTCTTTAAGTTTTCTTGTTTATCTCCAACTTGCCTTACTCTAAAATTTCCTTTATAATCATCACTGATGAATTCCTCTGGAGCAACCTTTCTATTTTTCTCTTCGTGATATTTTTGAACAAAACTTTGTGCTAATGATTCATCTAGTCTTTCTAATAATTTTTAGTTTAATTTCATTCAAATTTTATTATATACTTAAACAAGTTTCATTTATATAATTATTTTAATAACAGACATACAAATCAAGTAATTAACTAAAAACAAATAAAATATTTATGATGAAAAACTAATGAAAGATGAAAAAGGAAAGATCAAATCATAAACCTTTATCAGTCTTTGTATCATCAAATGAACAACTAACTATTTTAAGTTAAAATTTTATACATGATAATTTTGATAGTAAGACTTTTGCAAATGATAAAAGATAATACTATTAACAACTTAATAGATGTTTATAATCATATTAGCAGAGTAATAGAAAATTTTTTAAAGTCTTTAATAAATTATAATGAAAATAATTAGAAGAAGAATTAATAAAATTAAGAGAAGGATGCAAAATAGCTTAAATAATTGGTAATATTATTTAGTAATATTTTAGGTTTCATGAAGTTGGTTATTACTTTTTTGTAAATATTGATTTCTGAAAACAGTATGAGAACAACTGTGATACAATACTTTGAAACATCTTTGATAGATGATAATCAGAAATATTTCAATGTTTTAGATGAATACTCAAAATGATTTGAATGAAAAATCTCTCTTCAATTAATGAGTATGATTGGTATTTGTAATCTATATAAATAATTCATTTATTTTATTACAAATTGTTATTTATGCAAATATTAATTAATCTTTTTTCATAATATGTAAAAATTTTTTAGTAAATAATTTAAATAATTATGATATTTTATAATAAGCGAACTTAAAAAAGACATTGAGATAAATTAACTGTAAATTTAACATGAATCATTCGAATGTAAGAATCATAAATGGAGCATCAAGCACTAAACCATAATCAGCAAAAATTTGAATTTGATATTAAAGAAATAATAGATGTAAAGAAAAGTCTAAATATATACTAAATTGTTAAACTAAGCTATTTAAATTTTAATGATCAAGAAATGAAATAAATATAAAATATTTTAAAACTGTTTTTAAGTATAAATTAATAAATTTTCTTAAAAAAAAAATGAATGAGGACTTCGAGTAAATTGAAGATAATTAAACAGATTCAAATCTTATGTTAAATAAATAGAGAACCCTTAGCAATTATTAATAAGATTCAGAATTCGCAACTAGGGTAATTACTAACTAATCTGAATCAAACCAAAAAAAATAATCAATTATATTAATTGATCATTCTGAACATTAAGACTTTTAGGAATAATAAAATTATTTTAAACTAGACAAAAATGTAGAAAAAAAAGGATTAGAACATAAAAATATAAGATTTTTATCTTAATAAAAAAAGAGTTCATAGATTGAAAAATTTTATCACTCTTAAACAAGAATACAGATTTAAGATGATTCATCATATTAAAATCATTATTGCAATAGCTATATGCAAAGTTTAAAAAAATATAATTAATTAAAAAGTAATGATTATCAGAATATAAGTGCTGGACATGATGATTATAATAGTGATAATGTTGATGAATTATAAGAATAAAGAAAATAAAAAATAAGAGAATTAGAATTATAAATTTAGGTGGCTTAAATAGAAATAGATGAATAAGACGAAAAAATTAAATTAAATAAAGGTATGATCACTACCTTTGAAAACTTTATGCTTAAAGATTATAATTATGAGGAATTTAAGAAAATTTTATAGTCTGATAGCAATTTTAAAACGGATAATATTTTGATTACTCATCTCATTAATAAACTAAAATAATTATTACAAGAATTCTAGAATTCAATTATTGATAGAATTGATAGATTTGATGGTAAAACAGAATTTGAAAAAGATTATAACGGTGATTAAAATAGAAATTCAAAAGTAAATGATCAACCATTAGATATAATTACAAGGGAATTCTAAATTTTCTCACAATAATAATAATAATAAATAGATATTTAAGATAATAAAGATTAAATCATAAATCAAGATTTTTTATTGACAAACAATAACTTAAATTCACTAATACTTTCTATTAATGATTAAACAAAATTGTTACGTGATGTTTTGTAAAAAAGTTGTTGTTTAATAATAAAATTTAATTGTGAAATATATAATGGCCTTTAAGGAATGTCCAAAAATAAAAATTAGCTTGAATAAATTGGAGATTTAACAAAGTCTGTAAAGTAAATAATTTAATAAATTTAATCAATAATTAATCAATAATTGGATCTATAATAAATTTCAACTGAAAACGATCAAATTTTGCTTTTAGATTTGTTGAAATAGCTAATAAATAAATAAGAAAAAGCAAAATAATTTCAAAAATTGTTTGAATAACTTATATTTTAAAGAATTGATCTTGTTCAGCAAAGTGAAGAAAATTTAAGAGAAGAAATGGTAAAAAGATTACAATCTTTTAATTGATATTAATATTTTATAATTATTAAAGAAAATTCTTTAAATTGATTTCTACCTTAAGTTCTTCTTTATAAATTATAAGAAATTCTAAGTTAAATAATATAGATTTCTATATTGAATTTATTTTTTAAAATTAATTATAATATTCTCTCATGCTATATTGTCAGGAGTTGAAAAACAAGGCTTCTTCAATTATTTCATATACAAATTTAGGATGGTAATAAACAGGAATAATATGTGATTGTCTCTAAGATAGATATGAGATTGAAATTAAATATTCTAAGGCAATAGAAAAATTAGCAACAAAATTAGCACCAATAAATGAATTTTTTAGTGCTTCCTTTGGAATAAGAGCATAATTATCATCTCAATTTGCTGAAGAAATAAAAGGAGAAATTGATTTAATTAAATAGCTTATTGCTTAATAAAAAGCAACTCAATATATAGATTATATAAAATTGTGGGATAGTTAATTATAATCAATAAAATCAAATTTTAAAGCAGCAGAAGGATTTTTAAAAAATAAAAAAAGAGAATATGAAATTGAGGGAACATTAGAAATTGCATTTTCAGTTTGTTAATAAGAGAAACTTGAAAAATAAAGAAATAAGTATTATTAAATATTAATAATATAGAGCTCTTGTATGTAAAAAAGAATATTAATAAGCTAAAGGAAATTATTTAGAATTAAAATAAGAAATGGAAGAGGTTTTGAAAGAGTAAGAAGTTGAAGTTACATTAGACTAAATTTAATAATTAAATTTATAAAGGCTGAATGCAGTCAAAGATTGTATTCTAAAAATATTTGTATATGAGTCTTCTATTGCAAAAAATCATTTATATGATTTAGAAAAGATGTCTGAAGTAATTTATAATTACAATAATTAGAGATTACATGATTAAGATTAAAATTAATTTATTGAAGAATTTATTAAAAAAAATAAATAATAGGAAATAAATTCTGTTGAATTGGAATCATTTCTTACTAAATTATTAGATAGTTAAGGTTAATAATAAATATATACAACTAATATCTATCCTATAGGACCTGAAAGGACAGAAGAATAAATTTAATAAGCTACATAGGAGATATAATAATCACCTTAAAAGTAGGAAGAATTTTTAAATTTTTTATCTTAAAAGTTCAATTCAAGTACCTTTTAATTATCTCTATAAGAGTTTATTTAATGTACAACTATATCTATAGGAATCTTGGATTAAGTAATTATTCCTTTTTAATAATTAAGTGTTATGAAAATAAGAATGCCGTATTGGCTTAATAGTTACTATAATTTAGTTTTGGACTATTCACTAAAGATAAGTAAACAAGATATATGTAGGACATGCTAGTGAATCATTAAATTTGGTAGTATCGTGATTATTGGGAAGCTGTTATCATAAACTAAATATCTAAGGTAAAAAAAGGAACCAAAGAAAATATCAATACAAGCATTCTTATTATTCTAACATAAGTAGCATAACATATGTTGATGTTCAAATTATCGCCAGATTTAGTTAGAGATATTGTTTAAAAGTTTTCTTAATTTTTTAAATTGAACAAAGAAATAGCAGAGGATCTAATTGTAAAATATTAAATTATTATAATTAGTAAGCTATTAACAGCTAAGTTTGAAATATAAATTTGTAATAAATTTTATAATTAAATAGAATAGTTTATATAATCTTAATTTTTTATTACAAACTTTGATAACAATTTGAAAATATATTATCTTATATTTGATTCTAAAGTTTATAATTTAACACTATAATAATTGGTAGGATACTTTAATCTTAATCAATAAATGGTAGTGATGATTTTCTACATTTATTATAAATAGATTATTCACTAAAAAATTAAGTTATGTTTGTTAAAAATATATGAAAATAAAAGAATTTGAAATCAAAATTAGTAATCCTCCTTAATCGTTCCTTCATTATTTTGAATAGTATTATTAATAGGTTAAGATTGTTTTTTATAATTTTATGTATTATTATTGATTTCATGTTGATTATGATGATTAGGAGTTGATTTTTGTAACTTTTGTAAGATTTTAGTTAATGATTGATCTAAATTATGTGAAGAGAATGTTCTATATTGATTATATTTGATAGGCTTTAGCTGTTATATTTCATCAAAAATATTATTAAAGTTTAGAGATTAAGAATTAAGTTTTTAGATTTGTTAAGTGAGATTAGTTACTATTGATTATTATGAATTACTAATTTAAGAATCCTAAATATTTTTATCATTCAATTATTGTTTCAATAATTTGATCTATTCTTTATTTATTGAATTATTGAATTTGAATTTAGAGATAGAATGTGTGGCCATTTTTATGGAAAATATTTATTTTTTTTCTATTTTAATTATAATGAAAATAGTGTTAATTTCTAGATTTGAATTGTATAAAAGGAATTAAGTAATATAGATAATTATAATATAAATACAGAAATGGAATAAATTGAAAGAGAAATAAAAGAGATAGATAAGTAATTAATTTATTAATTGATAATTATAAATTATAAAAATGGAAAATAATATAATGTAGTTTCTCAGTTTGATAAATTGTAATGTCTAATTTTTGCGAATATAAATAATAATATATTTGTGAAAAATAAGTTATAGGATATTGGAAATATTGAGAAGTGATAAGTTAATTAAGAAAAATTGATTACATATTTTTAATTGACAAAAAGAAATGTTTGTCGACTTATGGTTAAATTTATGTTGTGCAAGAAAGCCAAAGCAAGAAGCGCAAGATCAACCTATAAGCATGAAAGAAGATTCAAATAAACCAATACTAGACACAGGATAAGTGTATGTACCATCACCTGTTGAACAGAAAGCATTACAATCAACATCATAGGAGTTACGGCAGAAGTTATAAGAAGCTTAAGAGAAGCGGCAGCAAACATAACAACTATAATAGCAGAACCATTTCTAGAATATGATAAATAAAGGAGCAGTAAAGACATCAATAGAAATGGAAGGTATGTTAACTATTTTTATTAAGAGTGGAACCTGTCGAAGGATTTCTCTCATTATCTGATAATAAATCCAATAAGATGGCTAGCTGGGAAGCTTTAGAACTCTCAAGATAAAATGATGTTTTAGGATAACTAGCTTAGTTCTCAATTTTAGCTAAGTCAATATCTTCTAATAATGGTCCATATTAAGGTAGTAATCCAGGTAGTCAACCATCATCTGATTAGTAAATTATGTCTGGACCATACCCATAGTAAATATCATATCCAAAACATTAGGTAAAATATACAAAATCTTGCTTAAACTACATAATTGGATGTTATAGAAGAGTATCCTAAAAAATCTATGATAAAGTAAATAATCTAAATTCAATCTTAGATCATAAAGCTAAATGTCATTAGAAACTGGAAAAATTGAGAAAAAACGAATCCAAAAAGATAAAAAGCAATCAAATAATAAAACTTATAAAGCATCAGCAAATGATAATGCAGCTAGAAAAGAAGTTACTCATGCTAAACTTTGGGATAAGAATGAAGATGCAATTTTAAGATAAGCTTATTTAAATTTTAATGGAAATTGGAGAAAAATAGCAGAACAACTACCAGGAAGAAATATGAATTAATGTTCATAAAGATGGAGAAGATTAAATCCTCAAGAAGTATATCTTATAATTGATCTTAAGAATAATAAAAAAAAATGGACTTTTGATGATGATTAAAAAATAATCCAACTTGTCTAAAAATACGATAAAAATTGGGCAGAAATAGCAAAACATTTATAAGGTAAAAGTGGAAAACAAATAAGAGAAAGGTATCTCAATAAATTAGATCCATCGATTAATTCATCTCCTTGGACAAAAGAAGAAGATGATATTATTTTAAAAGTTTATAAAGAACATGGCGCTAAATGGAGTATCGCTTCAAAATAATTGAAAGGAAGACCAGTAAATATATTAATTTAAATTAATTAGGAAAATACTGTTAAAAATAGATTTTATTCTTATATAAGAAGAGTCTTTTTGGGTCAGTAGAACCCATATTCAGTGGTTTTAAATAATGGTGATATTAATGGTCATGATAATACATTATCCCAAGATAGTGAATCCATTAAATAAGCTTTATCAATGGACTAAACTCCTTCAGTATTATTGATTTTAATATAATTTAGTTCACTGCTTCTTCATACTTAAGTTCTTTTATGGATGATGATTATTTGGAAGATGAAGATGAACCAAATGAATAAGAAGATCAGTTTAAAATTTGATATTATTTTTTTAATGGGAAATTAATGTAATCATGTTGAAATCAATGACAATGAATTCAAATCTGTTTAAATTGAAGATGATTCTGATTCATTCTTAATCTAAAAATTTGATCCAAAAATCAATCTTCTCAAAAACTCTGATCTAAAAAATATACAATCTCTTGATTCATTAAACAGTACAAAAACACAATTTCATGATAAAGTTAAGAAGGTCCCTTTTAATGTTAAATTACATCGCAAAAGAACATTGCATTATGAAAGTATCCATGATTCTCAAGCTTAATCTCCAACAAATTAAGTTTCTGAGTATTTTGAATATCCAAATGGTGTTTATTAAGGTTATTTAGTAGATGGGAAAAGAGAAGGTTAGGGCTAGTTTTTTTATCATGATGGATCATATTTCAAAGGTGATTGGAAAAATGACATGGCAAACGGTTTTGGAAAAATTAAGTTTTAGGAAGGAGAATAATATGAAGGAGAGTTCTTAAATGATTAACAACATGGTTTTGGTAAGTACATATCGAATTAGTTGAAATATGAAGGATAATGGAAGGAAAATCTACCTTGCGGAAATGGAATTGAGATTTATAATAAATATTACATATATGAGGGAGAGTTTTAAAATGGATTGAAACATGGAAAAGGTAAAATTCAATGGTACAAGGATGATTCAAGATATGAAGGAGAGTTTTGTGAAAATCAATTAAATGGAAAAGGCATTTACTATTTTGGAGATAAAGAAATTTACGAAGGATAATTCAAAGATGGGAAAATGCATGGATATGGAAAGTTTGAATGGCCAAATGGAAAAATATATGAAGGAAATTATTATTTAGGAAGAAAATAAGGATTTGGAAAGTTTACTGCACCTGATAGAATTTATACAGGAGAATGGTATGATGGAGTGTATCATGGATATGGAAAATTAGAAAACAAAGACAAAGTAATAGAAGGATATTGGGTAAATGGAGTTTTCTAAAAATGAATTTTCCTAATTTACTTTTTATATTATTTAATGAATAATATTAGTAATTTTATAGACACAACAGTTTTATATTCTATTCTTAAGATCAAGATTACAATCAATAAATAATAAATAAATAAGGATTGATATTAGTAATTTGTTGGAATTAAAAATATTGAATGCAGATTATATATGATCATATTAATGAAATATTAATTAAAAACGGATGAAACGAATTGTTTTGTTAGCATATTTGTGCATATATACATTTGCAACTGATTCTGTCAAAGATTTTGAATTCTTGACTTAAAGTGATTATGGAAAAAAAGTATTAAAAGAATAATAGCTAGTTCTGAAATCTAGTTAAAGTAATTATATAAATAATTAACAAGACCCTGTTGATTTGATTATTAATTTAAATCATTTTGAATCTGAGCTTGTGATGGATAGTGAGAAGATAATGAAAGAGTATTAGACAATCTATACAAGCAGTATATATATTCAAAATTTATAAAATAGATATTGAAAGAAAATAAGCATTGAAATAAAAGATATTCTTATCGAAATATCAATTACAAAATGTTGGTGAAGAACTTACTATTGTTACAAAAGAAAAAGAATTTTCAGAAAAAATATATGAAGAAAGAAAAAAATTATTAACAGAAGAAAATAAATTTGTTCCTTAAATGCAAGCTATTCGTAATGATGAAGTATTATAAGCAATTTTATTATTAGGTTGATAAATTATAAACTTTAAAAAAAGAAATTAATCAAACATCTAAAGTCATTAACTCATTTTTATAATAATTTTAAGGTTTAGCACATTTTTTAGCAAAAAAACCAGATTTAAGTGAATCACCAGCATTCTTAGCTAATAATAAATAGAATGATGAATTAAATAAGTTTAAATCAATGTGCAATGATATAAGAAATGAATTAGATACTGTTGTGATTGATAACCCTTACACTTTAGTCTTATGTATTTTCACATATTAAGACATAAGTTTCATTGAAGCCATTATTGGCTACTGAAAATGCTCATTTGATTGAAGAGGTTCCTTAATTATTAAAAACATTGAATCTTGCTTTAGAATCAAGTTCTGAAGAAATTGAAGCTGTAAGTAATGAGAGATAAGAATTGTTTAATATTGAAAAAAATGAACTTAAAAAAGATGTAGATAAAAGATCAGCTGAAGTAAATTAACTATTTAATTAATTAGTGTGATTAAATTAAATAAATATTTGAAAGATCTTCTGTTGATTTAGATAAATTAACAAATTAATAAGCTGATTTGAAAAAAAAGATTGCTTAATTATAAACAGAATAAGAATAATTATAATCTGATATGGAAGGATAATAAGTATTAATATTTATTTAATAAAATAGAGAGAATACAGAAATAAATTAAAGAATAATTTAGCGAATTTAGGATTGATTAGGAAAATTAAGTACTTATTGAGTTAAAACAATAAAGGATATTTGCAATTCATTAAGAATTAAAAATGAGGAGCATATATGTTTGTTTTAATCTATATATTTATATAATAATTAAACGTCAACTTTATTTATAGTTATTGTTATAAGCCATTCTAAAATGAATTATTTTTTGTATTAATTAGATAATTTATAGATATTTAATATAAATTAATTTAATAAATAATATTGTTGTGATTCATGATCTATGTAAGTTGAGATTGTAATTTGATGCATTTTGTCTATTAAATAAGCATTTATTAATACGGATTAATAATATTGTTATAAATTTCAAGTTAATCTATTAAGTGGAAATTTTAAATAACAAATGGAAATCATTGAAACTTATAACAATTCAAAATAACTAATTGGAGGAATATATAATAAAGATGAACTTGTAATTGCTTAATGGGGTGGCAATGTTATATTTAGGAAAAAAAATGAAATGGATGTTAAAATTAATACATTCTGTGTTGGTAATAAATAAATTTATATTTTAAAGGACTTTTAAAGATTACAGGTGATAAATACTTATGCTTTACAAGCAAAAATCATTTATTATAAATTAATGAAGATAGGAAGATTGAATAAATAGATTAGCAAGATAGTCCTTATTTTGTAAGTGATTTTTATTTGAAAACATGTCTATTTATGCACAATACAATCTAATAATAAAGATTTTTATGTCTTTGGAATATGCTAACACAATAGAAATCTAAATATGAACATATCAGCAGCATTACAAGTGTAATGGCTGCTGATGATGGCATTTGGTTGGGAGATAAGGATGGATATTTAAATTTTATTACATATAAACTAAAGCTTCAAAAACGTGTTAAAAGTATGTAAATCTATTATATCACAGTATTTTAGAATGAAATCTCCAAAATTTAAATTATGAACTAGAAAATATATTGTACTTCATAATAGTAACTTAAACTATTTTTTTCAAATTAAGTTATCTTAATTTCTACTTTCGATAGTGAAATTAGCTGTATTGGTGCATTTAAAAATAAATTAATATTAGGAACAACAAATGGATAGTTAATGATTTAAGAAAATTAGAAGAATTTTTAAAAACATCAGATACATACTAATTCCATTACGAGTTTCTCTGTTAATGATACTCAAATTGTAACTACAAGCAGTGATCGTACTGCTAAAATCATTCAATTAAGAACTGAATGAAATATATATATATATAAAAAAGATTAATATTCAAATTATTCAGACATATTAGAATTCCTTTAATAAATAGAATGCAATTATATTTAATATTTGTGTTTATTAATTTTATTTCTAATTGAATTTGATTATTTTTAAGAATTAAATTATAAATATTTTATACTTATATTTTAATTAATAAAATGAGTAAAATACCTTAACATCATGAAGAAGATTAAAATTTGTTAGGAAATGAAAATACACAAGAATAATTTCAATCTACAGTTCAAAGGTTTTCATCAAGTTCTAATTGGGAGGAACATGATAAACCTAATAAAAAACCAGATCAACCAGGTCCATCCAAAATTGATGCTATAGTGATTTTGATTATAATATTTATGATTGGATTAGCAGGATTTTGGTTAGTGAAACATTACAATGGTAATGAATGATCGTTCTATTCATTAGTGGTGATACCTGAAAAACCAATAGAAAATAATAATAATGTACGTGTTAGTCCATAATTAGTTCATCCAAAAGAATCAGTTGTTTAAGATGTTTTTAATAAAATAAGTGAAGGTCTTTAAAATTTAGGATAAGAAAAGGCTGAGAAGGAGTTTACTATAGAAGATGAAAAAACTTTAGATGAAGTTTTAGATGATTATATGTCAAAAATTGAATAATACACTGATATACGTACTGTCTGGGTAGATGATGATGATGTAGAAATTAATAATTAAAATAATAAAGATTTAATAAGTAAATAAACAGAAATCGAACAAAAGTTGGAATAGTAGTTAAATATTGTTGAGGATTTAGAAGAATTAATTATATCATAAGAAGGTGAAATATAAATTATTAAACCAGTCTTTTCTAAGAATATTTATACATATAAAGAATTATAAAATGGTTTAAAGGTTTTATACATTTAATCTACAACTGAAAGTATTACTTTAGTAGCATCATTAAATATTGGAAGAATTAATGATCCTTAAGAACAACCTGGATTAACAGAATTAATGTTTAAATGCTTATAAACCAATTTTTAAATTGAAGTCAATGAATATTACACAAATTTTATAATTCAATTAAATTTATTGGAAGAATTAAATGCTAAATTGTTAGAACTTTATATGATATTCACAGAACCAATATTTGTTGATATTGTTAAAAATGCTAAAGAATTATTTGAAAAAATGATGAATGAGTCTAAATCTGCTCATTTTCAATATGTGTCTTAATTTTTAAATTCATTAGCAAATTTATAAGAATTATCTATTTTATCTGTTGAATAAGATCAAATATAATAGTATTTTATTCAGCATATTTCTTCAGATACTATTAGTTTTGTATTCAAAAGTTAAGAGGAATACGAAATTATTTAAACAAAAATCTTATAATCAAATTTAATGAAATTAAAGAATTTACATAAATATCATGATCCAACTTATGAAAATAACTTTCCTCAAGGCAGACAAATTCTTAAATTTAAAAGTGAAACAGAGAGTTTATTATTATTATCAATAAGTGATGAATAAAGTTGTTAAAGATTTTTATCTTATTTATTACCTAAGCCATTCATAGGTTCAATAGAATAAAATTAATTATTAGTTAAATTAGATATTGATATTAATAATACTTTACCTACAATTAACAAATTTATTTCATTTCTCAACTTTCTTTAATAAGCAGATGAAATTTAATTAACATATTTATATTCTTAAATGTTAGTAACAGAAGAATTATTATTTAATACTAAATACGAAGAAGATTTATTAAAAATTAGTTAGAATTTATTTAAAGATCCTATCTATGGATTAAAAGGTGAAGAAAGTTTACGTATTTTTGATAAAGATGAATTTGATTAATATTTAACAAATTTACAAAATAATTTTATTGTTTTGATTGGAAGTGATAACTTTTAATTGGATCCAAATCATAAATCAATTAATGATGATTCAATCTTTATAGTAGATGCTGTATTAAATAAACTTCATTAAGAATTTTAATTTGATTTAAAACCTTTAACAAAGTAGTTTGATTAAACAAATTAATATTAATTTGAATTACCATAATTAAGTACATTTTTACCTGAAAATTTGGCTTTAGTATCAGTATGTTAAGAACCAATCATAGCTTATGAATAGTCATAAACTTAAATTGATAATTAAAGTAATGTAGTGAGAGAAAGTAAGTATGATGGATCAAAAGAAATAGATTTTGAAACTATAGAATTTAAATGTTAATTTCCTATTCCCAATTTTACAAATAATTGTATAGAATAAGAAAAAGCTGCATAAATATCTTTAGTGCCATTTTAAATTTCAAGTAATGTATGGTGGAAACCTAGTAGATTAGGTGCTATGGTTTTTACAGGATTATTTATTGAAAAACCAGAATCAACTTTAGTAGAAGGTAAAACAATGCTGAAGTTATTGCAAAAATTTTATACAGAATTGTCAAAGAAATAATTTTAATAAGAAATTTTATTTGGTTATGAATTAAGTTTTAAGGAAACAATAAATGGACTTAATATATAAATGTTAAGTTATTCTGAAAAATAATCAGAATTTTAGGATAAAGTTTTTGATTTAATGGATACTGATGATGAACAATTATTTATTTATGTAAAGGATTTGTTAAGTTAGGATATTAAAAGATTTCATGATTAAAAATTATCATTATTAACTTAATAACACTATTTACCTAAAATTATGCTACGTCCTGTTAGTTCTCCTTAAGAAATATTGGATGAATTAACTAAAATTGACTATTAAAGATTTTAAATATTCTAAGCTAAATTATTAACTAGTAAAATATAAATTTTGAATTTGGGAAATATTTTACCAAATGATAGTGTATTTGAAGATTCATAAGAAACTTATATAACAAGAACTTTGAATTTAAAAGGACAAAATTTATAGTATAAAGTGAAAAGAGAGTCAAATATTGATATGAGTTCATCAGTTTTAAATTATTACTAAACAGGTTTGAAAAATTTGGAAAACACTGCTAAATTATATTTTTATGCTGATTTCTTATAATAATATTCGAATAATTATTTTCCAATGGGATAATAAATTTAGATAAAGAGAAGAGCATTGGGATGTGCAGATGGTTTATAGATTTTTATGTAAGGATTAAATCCTTTAAAAGGAAAGGAATAAATTGATTAATTTATAAAGCAAGCAAATATTTATTTAAATAAATAATTAGATGAAGAAATTTTAGATTAGAAGACTTAAACAATTAATAGATTATAAAATGAAATCAAATTTAAGAGTATTTAAGAAGAAGGATAATTTATTTGGGATAAAATTGTTAATAAAAATTATGCATTTACAGAAATATAAGATGTTATAAGATATTTAGATGAAGTATTTCCATAAAAGCTTAGAGAATGTTAATATTTAACAATGTAAGGGTCAATTAGTGTTTAAGTATATGGAATATAAGAATAGATTGATTAAAATGGAAGTATTGAATATGTGGACGAACTGACTGGTTAGGATATATATGAATGCTTATTTCAATTATGATCGATTAGTTTAATGTATTTATGTAAATTTGTAGATTAGGGAAAATAAATTGAATAATTATACTGGTATACAAATTTATGAAATATAAATTAAATTCAAATCATATTGTCTTAATTAGGAACCATAATTTCTGCATTTCCATAATCGCCAATTAATGGTACCATACTTTTATTAAAATAAGATCTAGCTGCCATAGATTAATTATCTTTGACAGGTAGACTGAGCATATTTTTATCAGCAATATTAGTAACAATAAAGTTATTAGTATTAGTGTTTTAATTTAATTGCATTTGTTCTTCTTCTTCCTCATTTTCTAATAGATTCTTCTTTCTAAAAGTATTTCTTTTGTTTATAAGATTTAGATGTTTAATTTAATATTATTTTCTATATTCTGATGCATTACTTACTGCAATAGTTTATAATTCCCAATTAGTTTTTTCTTAGGGAGGTAATGAATGATGAAATTAACTGTGTTGATCTGATTTATCTGATTAAATTTTAGATGATTCTTATGATATATTATCTTATTCTTCTGATTGATGCATATCTGGTCCTCCTTATTAAATTACTTTTTATTATTATTCAACAATAACTTCTTCTTATGATGGAGCTGCTTAGATGAATTTAGCTAATGCTTACATTTCCATACTAAGATTAAGACTACTATTTTTAAGATGATCTAAATATTCAGGAATAAAGTCAGTAGTTTTCATTTCTACAACTTTATAATTACTGGATTCATTTTTTCTATCTAATACTGCTTTAATATAATTGTTTTATAGATTCTCTAATATGACTAATTTATCATCTAAAGTTTGTTCTCCAAATCGAATACTTAAAAATCTAACATCATCAAAAAATTATAAAACAGTACTGAAATAATATTCTACATTTTGAATGTTGTTTTTTATAAATTCTTCTCTGTATTCCATAACTTTATAAAGATCTTTTACAAATTATTGAAATGATAAAGTTTTCAGAAATTGTAAAAAAAATAGTTAATCTTAACTTTCAAATGAAGTTAGAAATTTTTTATAATCAAACATAACTATTTTTTTTTCTGATTTCTAATTAGATGTATCAGTACTAAAATATTTATAGATATCATTTAACATAAGTAACTTAAAATTATAAAATGCTTATCTATATTTCATGATTCCTTCTTCAAAGATTTCCTATAGATTAATAAAAATATTTACATTTTCATAGAATTTAAGATCTGCAAATACAGTATTCATTTTACGAATGAAATAATTTTAATATTATTTAGGACATTTTGGATCATCCGATCTGGAAAGAATACGTCCATCATCAATATCATAAATAACTCTTTTTAATTCTTTAGGCAAAGGTTTTTCAGACTAAATAAATGATAAGATTACAATTTCATAGAGATTTCTATCAAGTCCTATAATATAAGGTAATTAAGATTTATGAAAATCAAAAGATCCTGGTCTAAGAAATGGAATAAAAAGACCTCTCCATTATAAAGGAGCAAGTAATTCAACTAATGATTAACAAAATAAAGTAATGCCAGCAGGTTTACGAGAAACAATAATGATTTGGTATTCAAGCATCATGTATAATAGTAATTTATACAAATTAAAGATAGGTTGATTAAAAATTAAAACATCGAATAGGTTATTAGATAATTTAAAAATAGAAAAATGCGTTGTAAGATGTGAATTGGAAACATAGTAATTCATCCATATCTCAGAACTGCTGAACTTTAACCTATACTCTACGCTTGCTAATTATTAATATATAAATACTTATCCTAAATAATAGGACATTAAGTAAGTGCTGTTCTGATATAGAAATCATAGAGTTTTATTTCTTCAATCTAATATTCTTATTATCCTCTTTTTATAGTAATTATTTTATCTCTTTCTCTATTTTAAGATAAACGAAGTTTTTAGATTTTTAGTAATTGCATAACAAAACTTCTTTAAGGAATGAAAGCAGGATAACAAGATATTACACAGAAAGCCTTAGGTACAAATACTTACATTAATTTATCATTTGATGGCATAATTAAGAACATCTTTTCATAAAAGCAAGCTGAAGTACAATAAAATTTGATGTGCTATTTAAAATCGTTAATAACAAAATAATTGATCTCGTTTGTAGATGTTTATATATCATCTTCTTTAAAATATTCTTCTATCTTATTAAATCTACTATCTCCTTCCTTTATTGTCTTTACTCCTAAAGGAAAGCACCACTATATAATAATAATCTCCGAATATTTTACCAAAGCAATATCTGCTAAAACATGATTCATTTTACGTTCTACTGGATTCGGAAATATTGTAAGTATAGCAAGATCTTTCTTATTTGCAGTAGTACAAGATTAAAGTATTACATCTACAAATATATTTATTGAATTGTAATTACCTTAATCATTAGTTTTAATTCCTGCAGTTACGAAGAATTCAAATAGATTACCTAATTTCTCCATTTATTTGTTTTTAATAATATAATTAATATAGCTATGCATCATAATTAACTGAATCTAATGCGATCACTTTTATTTAATATACTCTTAATTCAACCATTACATTATCATTTACTATTATATAAATATAAAGTTTTATACATTCCATTACTATAATGATTAATATTTTTAGAATTACAACTATTTATTTCTAATAAATCTATTTCTCAAATAAGTATAATCATTAATTCTTATATTGATTGGCGCCAAAATATATATTATTTAATATATTGTATGGCAAACTTATTTGATGAAGAGTAAGGATAATATTTAAGATTGAATGCCCTTAAATATTTAGAGAAACCTCCAGAAGTCTAAAGAGAAGATGATCCATTTATTACTAATGGCTCTTTAGCTATTACATATATATTAGTGGAAACTGTAGAGTAATATAAGACAGGTTAAGGTTTGAAGTTCTAGCCTAGTTATGTTCATTAAGTATTTAGATAGTCGAATGAAATTTATGGTTATAAAGATCTTAAGATTACTATTCATGTCACAGCACTTGGATTAAAACCTTATATTCAAGTAATTCACTTCAAAATATTAATAATAGATATCTTATAGTGAATAAACTGAAGATGCAGATGACTTAAAGGAAAGTTTTAATAAAGTTTATGAAGCTGGATATCTAACAAACGAAGATCAATTTATTAAGGCACTTGAAGAAGAATACAATTAAGAACCATTAGGAGATTTAATTGAAGAATATGGAGATTTCAAAATATATAAATGTTAAACTGCAATAACTAATGGCTTTATTCAATTTAAACCATTTTTATAAGCATTTCTTTTAGTCTTAATTGATGGAGTTTAATATCCAGGTGATGAAAATGAATGGGTTTATTTAATATTATATGAAAAAAGACAATTTATAGGATTGACTACTGTCTATAAATTTAATATTGGTTGGGATAAACAAAGACATCGTTTAAGTCAAATGTTATTCCTACCTTAATATTAAAGAAAAGGACATGGAAGTAGAATGCTTAAAACTGTTTATAAATTAGGATTAGAAGATGAAAAATGTTTATAAATCACCCTTGAAGATCCATCTGAAGATTTTTAAGTTATGAGAGACATTACTGATTCCAAAATTTTACATGAACATTTCAAAGATATTATTCCTAATCATGTTATAAATTTAGATTATAATAGATTATTAATTCTGTTTAAGATATTGTTGATATCCCCAAAGATAAATTATTCGAAATTATGAAGAAAACTAAATTGCATGCCTATTAAATAAAAAGAGCATATTCTATTTATCTATATGCCTTTATTAATAAGTATATTATTATTATTAATAATATCTAAGAAAATCATCAAAATTAATGACAGACTTTGCTAAGTATTTATTAAGAGAACATTAAAAACCTTATGTCAGAAAAAAGAATATTTTAGTAAAATTTGAAGATGGAAGTTCATTGGATCCAAAATAATTACATCTTCTTGAACTCAAAGAAAGAGAAGATAGAAATATTAATGCTGAAGAAAGCTTAGGTGAAGAATTTTGTTTATTTGAACTTATTGCTACCAAATTAAGAAAAGATAAAGTAATTTGAAATTAATACATTTTATATTTATTTATTTTTATTTTATGAACCAAACTCAAGATAATATAGATAAAGAAATGGAAAACCTTAAAACATTTTCTAAAAGAGTACTTAAAGAACTCAGAATTAAGTCAAGTTATGAAGAAGAATAAATGAATTGCAATAACCTTAAAATTGATCTAGAGGAATTTCATTAATGTTGCAAGAATCTCTTAGAACTTACTTAAGCTTTGAAATTTGATATCAGAGTCAATCAACTCACCAAAAATTAAAGAATAGATAGAAGCAAAGAATATGAAAATTTATTATTGAGTATTAGATAACTAAATCAATGAAATTTAATCAAAAATTTTTTTATTAATAACTTGAAAATGAATGTGCTTCATTAAATTATCAATTTTTGTTGATCTATTTAAAAAATTCACTTATTTTTCTCACTATTTCAATTAAACCCTTCAAAAATTAATATTTGGAATCCAATGTAAAATTTTTTCATCTCATTTAGGACTAAACTAAAAAGTAAAATTAAATATATTGTAATTTTAATATGAAAAAATTTTTGATTTCAAAGACTATTTAGAGAGAATTAATACTTAGAATCACTTAAAAAAATAAAGAAAACCACTTATCTAGTTCAAAAATTCAAATATACAAGTAATACATCAAATTTTTTTAATCTAATGCTTAGTTGATAGTTCAAAAATAAGTATTGATTAATTTTTTTAGAAATTAGAATTTGTATATGATAAAATTCATAATATTTATTTTTGGATATTATTATTCCTTTTCATGATAAACTAACTAAAAGTTTATTTTTATGAAGTGAGAAAATATATTTAGATTTTATAAATCAAAATACTATTTTAGGATTCTTTGGAATATAGTATGAATTGTATTTTTGATATTTTATGAATAGGTTTAATTCAATGAACTTAATCATCTTCCTTAAAGAGTTATTTCAATAAATTTCATTTATGGTTTCTGTTATTCGATTTAATTATTATCAAACATAATTCTTCACTTGATCTAATAAAAATTATATAGATATTCGGATTAACAATAATTAGCTTAAATAATATCTTTGTGAATTTAAATTTTATTAAATTGTGATATAAAATCTAAAATTTTGACTTTTAAGATAAATTATATGATTCATAAGAACTTAACTGTTTCTAAATGTGCCTTAAAGTTATTTGAAAAGAGTATGATTATTTTTCAACTTTGTAACATTATTAAATAAAAATATCTATCAATTTATTCTATTTTTGAATCCATTCCTTGTAAGAATTAATCGATGATAATTTATAATTTTTCATAGATTTAACAGAGAAAGAAAAAGAATATATAATTAATGTTAGAGAATTTAAGGTTGTTGATTTTTTATTGAAGCTGATAGACTTATAGTACTAATTTGTATGTTATGTTGGTTTTAATTTTTAATAGGCAATTTCATTTTAGATTGTTAAGCATTTTTTTAATGGTTTTCCTTTATTTTAGAAATTAAGCACATATAAGCCAATAGAATACCAATTCCAAAACAAATAAAATCCTTTATAAATAAAAAATTCAACAAATATACATTCAATAATCTTTATTATTAAAAAATATTCGTTCAAATAACAACAATTCTTAAATTCAATTTTAATAATATTACTAAATAAATTTGAAATTCAATTTTCAAAAATAGCAAATTTTTCAGCCCAATCCTTTGCTTTTTTTTCAAATTCAATTTTATTTTATTTATAAAGTTCACTTGCTTCTGGAAAAAATGAATATTTTAAATTTGGTTTTGATAATATAGATTTAATGCTCATCAAAACTAAATTGATAATAAATATTACTATTATATATTGTATAATCAATTCTCCAATCATCTTTTAAAATTTCTAGATAAATATATCCTAATATATTTATATTTGGATGAAATATTTTATTCATGAATGTAACTTAAGGAGGCACTTAAGGATATTCATTAGAAAACTGAAAATTTAGGAAAAATGAGTAAGATTTATATGGAGAATCATGTGGACCTCTAATCCAGATTTATAATTAGAAGTTTCCTATTTCATAAATTTCCCCAATGAAATTATCCTGACCCTCTTGCATAATATTTTTTATTTCTTCTGAATCTTTCTTTATTTTTTCTTTTGCCATAATCACTTAATATTATCTTTAAAAAATATTATTTCATTTTATTTTATTATATTTATAAGGTTTCAAACAGCATATTTTATTGTCTAATCCTTTGCTTAATGATTCAAATTTTTCTTTACTTATGTTTGAACCTAAAAAAATAAAAATTTTGATTCAAATTACCATCATATTTGGTAATCAGTTGGTATTTTAATGTCAAGTTAGAAAATTCCGTTTTAATATGGTGATTCTATAATTGTAGCTTGTTATAAAATATGTCCTTATCATCAATTGAAGTACTATATGTAATTGGATGATTTTTATTATAAAATAGTTCTTTCTAAATTCTGTTTAATGTTCTAGTTAGCATTTTTATTAATTTATAAATCATCTTTCATTTTCTAGTCAGATAGACCAATTTATTTTTGGGCATTTTAATAAAATTTATTTTGATCCTCATTATCTCAATAAATGCATATGCCAATTATCTTAAAAAATAATAAATACATGATTTTATTTATTAATTTATTCTATTATCTTAAGAGAAATCATAACTTTGTAAGAAAATCTTATTTTTAACTCATAAATTCTTCATCTAGAAAATAAAAAAAGTTGAAATATATATAATTAATTAAAAAATTAATACAATAAGTTTTGATTAGTCTTTATTTAATCAGAAAAAAGAAACTTTGAAATTTAAATTACAGTTATTTATCATAAGTAATTAATAAAAATAATTACAAAGACAAATAATTCAAATGATATAATCATTTAGAAGAGTTTGACTTAACTTTAATTTCTAGTGTAGGAAAAAATGTGAAAAGAATTTCTTTAAGCAAACTTTAATTTAGAGGTTTGGTCATAAAATAATCCATTCCATTTTCATAGCATTTTTGTTTTGTTTGTAGATCACATAATCCAGTTGTAGCAATACAATAAACCTTTTTGATTTCTTCTGATTACATTTAAGTTTTTATTATTTTGATAGTCTGAAATCCATCCATAATAGGCATATTAATATCTAGAAATATTAATAGATAATGCTAATTATTGCAATGTTTGCATGGGTTTTCCTTTTTCAAGTTAATTTAATTAATACTATCTTAACCATTAAATGCATGATCACAATTTACTCCATATTTTTACATAATTAATTTTAGACATCTTATATTGTAATATTCATCATCAACAATTAAAGCTCTTGAACAACATTCACTTTATAAACAATACTCTAACATATCTTTTTTTTATCTAGTTTGAAAAGATGGTAAAAAATGAATCTTATTTTTATGAGACTCACTCAAAATTTCACTTTCTATTTCATCTTCAAAATGATGAACAACAGAAAAAGATTTTGTTTCTTTTCTCTTTTTCTTGAATGAAATCTTTTGAGAAGATAAATTTTAAGATATGCTATGAGATTATTATCCTAATGGTCCTTCAATATAAGAATTTTATGAAAGTAATTTAATAGATTATATTCCTAAAGGAAATTCTAAGATTGCTTTTTAATTAGAAAAATAATTTTCTTAAATATCATTAGGTAACTCAAAAAAAAATTAAGTTCCTATCACTAATCTTTTCACTTTTATAGGAACTCCTCTATTTAATTATTTTACAATCATGTTGGATATTACTAAGCCAATTCCAGAACCAACTGAATTATCAGAAACTTTAATAAATTCATCTTTATCCAAAAGAAAATTGATATTGAATTCTTCTTCCTCACTTAAACCAATTCCAGTATCTTCTATTGATAAAATGAATCGGTCAGCATTGTTATATATATTAACTCTAATTTATCCTGATAAAGTGAATTTTACTGCATTTTACAATAACTAAAAATAAATTTACTCAAATCTTTCTTTGTCTGTTATTAAAAATCTATTTTTTAGATTATATTAAACTGACAATTAAATACCTTTGCTTTGAAGAGGTTCCTCAAATAAAGCATTTATAAATTCAACTGTTTCAATAATTTTCATCTCTTCTAATTTAAGTTAAAATATTTTTAATCCTAAATGTGTAAAATCTCTGACATTATTAATAATAAGATTAAATTAAATACAATTTATTAAAATTGGATATATATACATTGTTTTTATCTATTCAGATATTATTTCATCTTCAAAAGCTAAATTACTGAATGTCATTAAAGAATTTAAGCTAGTTCCAAGTTCATGTGATAATTATTTGCACATATCAAAAAACAATTATTTTCTAACTTTACCTTATTTTCTTTAATATTTTTAAGGAACATCTAAAAACAAAAACTAAATAAGTGTTTCACTTTCGCTATTTTTAACTTATTCTATAAGTAAAACTGTATCTCTAAAATCAAATGTGTCATTATCTTCTATTGAAAAATAATAAATATTTGATAATTCTTCATAATAATCTGATAGAAAGTCTGATATTCTTATTTTATGTGTAATATCATTATATTTGTATAACAATGATAATTTAAAAAATTCTTCTTGAATAATAAAATCTCTTTTCTGGAGATCATTCTCAAATTCTTTTTTAAAATAATCCTCCAACTTTATAGTACATTCAAAAATATCCATTTTTGTATTAAATGTTAGTTTCTTGGTTGAAAATCGATCATATTAATTAGCCGGTGCATTTGGGCTTTTTACTGAAGGTAATTCAAATTAGAATGTTTAACCTAGTTTTTATTAATTAGTTGTAGTATTAAGTGTACTATTTGGCAAGTGGTATTATGGCCTCCCACATCTTTTATCAAAAATTAAGGAAAGATGCTTGGCATCTAAAACTACTAAAATGATATCAAGTGAAAAAATAAAGTAGCTATCTGTTGTTACCGTGAGATAATTAAATGTATTAATGCAAATTAAGAAAAAAGCATAATATGACATGCTTTTCTATTATATGCTTTGTTCTTTTGAAAAATGAAATTGAATTATTAGATGAACATTTAAGGAAATAGAAATATTTTCTTGTGTAGAACTCCAAACTGAAATTCCCTTAATTGCATAACCTATATGAAATAGCATCATTTTTGTGAAATTTGAAAATCTATGTTGGAATGAGGAAATCCCTTAAATTGTACTTCCAAGAATAAAACTAAGAAAATATATTACTAATAATGAGGAAGTTTCCTCTATCTCTTAATAATTGTGATACCCCAACTATAGAAGATTATTTCAGCCAATACTACAAGGTCTTCAGAAAATCTCAAAACTTCGCTATATTTCATTTATTAAATTAACTGGAGTTTGCGTTCTAATTTAATTTTCATATAGTGAATATTAAATCACTATATGTGAAAAGATCAACATTTGATTTCAAATTAATTTTTAATACATAACTCGTTTTACTTTTATCAAATTTATTATACTCATTCTTCTTTCTTAATTATTTTGTAACTAATTTATTATTATAGAGTTTTCATCTGCAAAAAATGTAAAATAAGAAGAAACTATTTTTAAAAATGTTAAAGAGTCATTTGATTAAAATGTCTAATATCTAAAGAAAAATTTAGAGAAACTGATCTTTTATCAACAGGGTTTTTATTTTAATTTTATTGTAAACCAGATGAATAACTTAAACAAATAAATTTTGAGAAAAATTCATTCCGAAATGTTAGTTACGTTTTACTTTAGTAATAATATTAGTTGCAAGCTTTATTATAACTTTTGCTCAATGTTATTTTTCGAAATAAATTTTAGATGAATAACCTTATTATAATGTCCAACAATACTATTAAGTTACAAAAATATAGAGCAAGCAAGCAAATATAGTAAAAATCTAGTAGAATTATTTTAGTGTTTGATTTCAATTTTTTTAAATAAATAATAATAAAATATGGGAGTAGTAGATATCACTGAAATGTCCATCTCCTTTTTTACATGGTGTGTTTTCCATTTTGTACCAGAAAAATGGACCATAATGTCTTTGGATCTTATTTTTGGAATGTTTATAAAGTTACTTTTTTACTTTTTACAATTTGGGTTAAATGAGGGGTATGTCTTTCAATTCTAAGATTTATTTTATTAAGCCTTAATTTGGACAAGCTATTATTTGTATGTTATTAGTATAGAATCTAAATTCATTTTCGAAGGAAGATCTTATACAGCTTGTAGAGAATTTTGGTATAAAATAGTGGATATATTTTCAACATTATGCGCACTTTCATTAATTGTTTCCCTGAATAAAAAAGCGTCTGGTGGTGAAACAATGTGGTTGGTATTAGTTATTATGTTTTTGATTATTATTTAATCAATCTTTCTTTAATTTTATATCAAATTGGAAAGAAATTTAAAAGTAAAATCTTTCGTTTCTATAATATTGGGATAGCAGGATTAGAACTTGTAGTTTAGGTTTTTTCAATTATTATGGCAAAATGCGAAGTTAAATGGTTTGAGGAAAGGGCTAGTGAAAATTTTGATTTTAGAGGAGGTTCTTAACATTTTTTTATTGGACATCTAATAGGAATAATTCTTTCAATAATTTTACTTGTAATCATTTTTTTGAAGTATCGTTATTAAGACGTTCAGCTTGATAACGATACTGTACGCACTTATATCCCTATTTTAATGGCTGAATAGACATTTTTATTTTTAATTGTTTTTTATGAATTTCGTAATACATCTAATGTGGAAGATGTAGATCCAGAACTTCATAATACTTTAAAAAAAATACTATGTTTTGGTCATGGATTCTTGTGTGGTCTTTTTAGCTTTTATCTTGTTCATGCATTAATATTTTTTTATTATTTTTCTGCCTTGATATAGGACAAATGTCTGAATAAAAGATGCAAAGTTTAATGCAATTGCTTAGTTGATTGCTGTGGTTGTTTAATTTGCATTGATGATACCACTGTCAAGTTTTCAAAAGTGTCTCCAAGTAGTTGATTTTTGATAAAATTGGCATTTTAAAAATTCAAAAATATTTTTTTATCTCTTGAATTTATAAATATAGTAACATATAATGAGAGCCTGATAAACAATATAACCAAAAATTAATAATATTATTGAGAAGAAAAAAAGTTTTTAAATTGCAACCAACATCCATTTTCTTAAATCATGTAAAAGGTAGGAAAACAAATAAAATCGCATCATAATCCTTTACATTCTAACTATAATTTTGAATGTAATCAATATTAATATTCTTTCAATATATATTAATGAATATTTTTTACTTCAATATACTTTCTTTTTTCCAATAATCTTTAACAATAGAATTTTGTGAATAACATTACATACATTAAAGTTCTATTGGATTAAAATACATTTCTCGGAAATTTATTCTGAATAATATCCATTTAAACATTCTAAACAAATAAAATAATATTGAATATTTGTTTCTAGACATTCATAACATTTATCAGTTAATTAGTTACAATTTTAACTAAATTCAATATCAAAAAACTATAATAATTGTAATTATATTGATTGGATTTAAGAAACAAAGTTAATTCTAGAGATTAAACACTAGTTTTTAATTATCCTATTCGAATTTCAAATTCTCTATCATTATATTTTTAATTATAATTTTAATGTATTTTCATTGTAATTATTCATTATATTTTCAGTTTTATTGCTATTCGGGTATTATTGTTTAATTAAATCATTTAATTTATGTAAAATTAGAAATTATATCATTTAACATTTAATGCATAAATGTACAACCTTATTCTAACATAATCTTGAGATGTAAATATTATTTAAATTAGCATCATCTCTTAACAAATATTTTATTAAAAACATAATTTCTTAAAAGTTATTCTTATTGTGAATAGTAAATTTTAATTCACTATTATTGAGAAATTACATAATGTTTAGAATATTTTCAGCAATTCTAAAATCTTAATCAGTCAGATTATATCATCTTTTACAATATCAGAATATAATTATTTCAATAAAAATGTATAAAAAACTAAAACAAAATTATTAGATCCAATTTCTTGTTTAAATTGATTAATTTTTTTTTTAAATCGATTAATAATTTAATTTATAATTTAAAGAAAATGAATCTTAAATACATAAATCAGAAAAAAATAGTAATGATGAAGTTAAGAAATTAAGACAGAATCAAAAAATATATAGGTAAATGATAATCGCATATGTTGTAATTGATTTTCAGATTACTTATCAACTTTCTATAAAAATAAACCTTAAATATATGTTAAATTGCATGGATTTTATATGAGTGTGATACCTAAGACTTAAAAAACTAAAGAACCTTAGATTAAAAATTAAATAAACCAATATGCCTCGATCTCTTATAACTAATTGTAAATAATAAAGCACATTATTATGATAAGATTTTAGTTAATTAAGATGCAAAAAATATAAAATAAGCTTAACTTAAAGAAAGGTTAGTATATAAAAAGCCAAAGTTGAAATATTTCAATCCACAGAAGAATCATTGATTCGTTAAGATGATATTGATTTAAATGTAAATCTGCTGTATAAATTATATGCATAAAATAAGCAAGAATTTTAAAGAGCAACGAGTTTGCTGATTAATAATTGTATTTATTTTTTAACATATATGGTTTAGGTTGCCTATTAATATCATTTCACCAGATGTGTTAGAAGAAATATGAATTTAGAACATTATAAATTTGTTTTAATTTACATCCATATAAATTTCATCCATAGAAACTAGTTGCTCAACTAATCACAAGGATTGTTTCTGTTACAAACTTGAGGCTCCCATTTTCAAAAAATAATAATAATAATGCTTTGAATTATCTTAAAAATCATATATAGTGGATCCAAATAATTTGTTAAAATCAGCAGAATTACAAAAACCATAAAAACTATAGTTTAAACTACGTTCAACATTTCAACTCAAACCGCAATTTTCTATACCTTTTCTTAATTTGCTTTCTAAGAAGGATGGCTCTATGAATTAGACATTTGAAATCCAAATCAAAGATACTTACAAAAACTACTCAAATTAAATGTTGTCTTTGTTGCTGTCTTCAATAATTATTAAAAGAAATAAATAAGTAAAAACCATTTCTAGAGTTGAATCCTAAAACGATGGCTTCTGAAACAAATTAATCAACTTAGATTAATGTATTGGAATCAGAAAGCCGTTAATAATTGTAAAAAATTTAGAAGATTTCATCATTATCTAATGATTATCAAACTTAAACAAGTACACCATAAGGTTATTTAGAATATTAGTTTTAACAGATTATGAAAAACATTCTCCAGAAGAATAGACTATATTAATTTCATGTCGAATACTAAAATTTTTCATATTGTCTAACTTTTAAATGATTCTTTACTAGATTTTTTTAGTTTATGAATTATCTACTTTGAGATGAGATTTCTATTTTTAAACTGTTTATTGTCAAAAGAATATTAAATTGATTTAATATTATTTTAAATTTAATTAAATATTAAAGGTTTGCAAGAATAAAAAGATTCTAAAGTAACATCAATATAGGCAAATCATTTATAAAGAGAAATTTTCTATTACATAAACGTCATAAATATCTTCAGGAGTTGATTTCAAAGTAGCTTTAAAATGGAAGGTTTAATAAATAAGTTGAGCTGATTTTACTCATAGATCAAAGAGAAATATATATCTAAACTTTTAAAAGTATTTGAGATATATTTGTTTTACCTCTCTATCAGAAACAACACTAAAAAAAAGAATTAATAACCAAAATAACCAGTTATAAAAATGGAATTATAAATAAAAAAAAAAAAAGGATAAATAGATTGAGTAATAATATTCATGTTATTATTAACAAATTGATTATCCATTATTTTTTTTATTATTTCTCTCTTTTTTATGAAGCCACTTGAAGAGTCAATACATTTCTATCATTCACGCAGCACATATCTAAAATTGGCCTAATTAATTTATCCGAAGCACTGGTACTATTTGCAAGGAAAAAAAATGTATTTTATAATAAACGAAAAGTTACAAGTTGTAAGGAGATCAAAATGGCCCAAGAAGAGAATTTAAACAATGCCTCAGAATATTGCACATGATCAAATAAATTAGTAGTACTTCAGGCTAGTCATTTTAAGATGAATAAACAGGGACAGTAGTAATACATACCTTTTCTTTTTAGAAGATGTTTCAAAGATTATAAGATCTTAAAATAATCAAATTTATGAAAATTAAAATAGTTTTATCCCAATTGATAGTGAGAGGAAGTAATCAATTAGAAGCACATTTAAACGAAAATTTTTGGATAAAGTGCATAAAATTATAGAAATTTCAATAATAGTTTAACAATAAGTCAATTTATTTGATTAAGATTATATATATTTTGAATATGTAAGTCTCAATTATAAATCCTTAGAATACTAATGTTGTCACTTTTGCTATAAGTATTTTAGCCTTGAACTTAGCTGAGTTTAAGCTTCGATATTTCTTAATCTATTAAAAAAAACTTTAATTTGCACACCTCATCAAATGATACATAGGAGTAATCATCATTTTTTTTTTGAATTAATTACCAAGTATAGTAAATTTCAACATTAGCATAAAATAAAAAGTGACAATATTTCTTGATATAAATTTATCCATTTTCAATATAACTAAAGAAATTCCTTTATTCTTAATTTATCTTAATTTAATTTTGGATTTAATTTCAATTTCAGTTATCATCAGCTTGATTAATCTGCATACAACAAGAAATAAAATTAAAGTAAAAACAATAAAAGAACTAGGCTAGTTAGTGAGAAATAATACGAGATATAATATTTTTGGGATTAATTGTTAAAAAGTCTATTTAAGATGATTAAGTAATTATTTGTTCTAATACAAACCCTAAAATAAAATGAATTAGGATTGTTAAATTAGCTTCCTTAAGATACTCAATTTTTAAAAGAGAAAATTAAAATTTAATCTATGATATATTACTCACTCATAAGAGCTTTAATTGTAATACAATTTTCTTAGGTAAATAAGCTAGCTCCTCTTTATGTTGCACAATTTAATTATTATTCTTTAATAATATTTTTGCTACAGAACTTAACTATTATTCAAATATTATTTGAAGTAATGATCTTATCTCATTTTTGATGTAACAGTCCATAATGGCTTTTTCAAGCATTTAGATTTCTAATATAATAGCATTATGAAACTTTTATTAAAATTCTATCTAAGATTTTTCTATTAATTCTAAAGTCTAATTTAACCAATAAATTTTGAAAGGAAAGTGAACACTTATGACAAGTTTTATAATAAGCAACCTTCAAAATTTGCAATTCTACAAACCTACCAATTAATATTAAATTTTAAAATAATAACCATGCTGTAATTTATTTACAGCTTCCTGCAGCTAAACTTTTCCACCATTTTAATTTTTTCTAAGTTTTTTTCAAAAAATTGTATACAAATAAATTATCTGATTTGAGTATGATTTTATTGTTGTAAAAAAATGTTAAGTCTATGGGACGAGATCTTTCATAAAGATAATTTGAGAAGGTCATTATTTTATAAGATAACTTAATAATTAGTTGATTCATTAATTATTTTATTAATTTAATGGGATTAAGTGTAGTATTATTAAAGTACTGTATCGTTTTTAAAAGATTTTTATCATATCTGCATTCATGATTATTTATTAATCTTTTTTTATTTGGGTTTTATAATTTAGTGGTTTATGATTTATTATGTTTACTAAGTAGTTATTTATGATAATTATTATATTCCATTTGTAAAATTAAATCAAATTTTATTCACAATTAATTTTAACATTAGTACTTTAAATCAAATGTTTATCATCTTTTTTCTATGCTGTTAGATTATTGTACCTGTATAATTAAATATTAATTAAATTTTAAACAACATGATATAAGATGTTTAAAATTATTAGGCTTTATTACATGTAAATCTTATTTAGTTTTATATTTTAATTAAGATATACTACTACAACATCAAAAAGATATCCATATTATTATTTTTTTCTTATCAAAAGCAATAATCTTCCTTTTCATACTTTTGCAAAATAAATAGATAGAAAAATTATTTAAATTTTAAATTAAATTATAATGATATAATTCAATTCCAATTTAGTTTCATTGTTCTTTACTTTTGAGGCTTTTCCTCAGAGTTTCCTTTATATTAATGCAGATTTAGTTAATCTGCATTTTATCTAATTGTGTTTCGTATTTTAAACATAAATGATCCTTAAAGTGTAAGTGAAGCATAAGATTTCAAACAACTTCAAGAAGATTAAGAGGCGGTTATTTATTGGAATTAAATATTTTAGATCGATTTTAAATCTACTTTTTTTAATAACTATAAAATTTTTATTCTCCTACCCCAAGTTTTAACATCTACATCAGAGTGAAATATTTGTAAAATACAATTTTTCTTCTTCTTTTATTATCTGCTGTATTGAATTGATGAAAGCACACAAAGGATCCTGAATCATCTCAGTAAGCATTAAATTAAATATATTAGAAAGTTTGATATAAAATTTATTTTAAAAACTGTTTTCTGGTTGATGAACAGAGTATTTTTATTTGTTTAAGTGATTTTACTTTAAACCACAATAAGTCCTTTTTTGTAATTTATAACAGGAGATTTAAGTACATCTACTAGTCCACTGCTGTAGCCTCTTATTATTTATTGTACAACCAGCACTACTTACTATGAAAGTTAAATTTTTTAAGTTATTCAAACCTATGCTTTTGCCATGACTTAAATCAATTACAAATATTATATTTTAGTCTTACTATATTATTATCCAGTTACATCATCATCATTGAATGTCTCTAATCCATAATTTCCAATTTAGTGTTTGTATATTGCCTTCCATTTTTTTAAAATATAACTGCCTTCTATCCTTTCAAATTCCAAATCAAATTCTGTTGTTACTTGTTCTAGACACCTTATCAAATTCTTTTGAATCTATGTTATAGCAGTGCAGATAGAATACTTTTTTTGATTTCATCATTTTTATTTGTATTAAAAGTCAAAAAATTAATATAATTCTCAATTTGTTTATCTAATTCATTATTTACCAAAATTCTTCCTTTATACATCTTCCAGAATTTATGTTACTGAATTCAATTTAAAAATAAATTATGCATGTATCTTCTATCATCTTACCCTTCTAAATCATCTTTAATTGTTGACTTAAGTATAGGATTGTTATACAAAGACATCATATTATAATAACGAATATTTTGATCATATAGCATCTATTCTCAGTACTTAAATTACATCCTTTTTTGATTGAAGTCTATAAAATAATTAAAATATTGCTTTTCAATATGCTTCTTTATTGCGTCTTCTTTTAAAACTCTATGACTTACTTAGATTTTTGTATCTTTATTGATCTCTATTTTAATTAATTAATTATGAATATGTTTTTATAATTTATTTCCTGTTCATCATTACAATCATTTAAAAAACATTATGTCTATGGCTTTTGATGGAATAAATAAATATAATTAAATAAATACTACTTAAACAAAGTCCCTAAATAGGATAATTATTTATCTTGATTTATACATCATCATCAATTGCTTTAAATAATTTATGGTAGCAGCAAATTTATTTTACTCTTTAACTCACCTTTCCAAATATCACTATATTTAAAAAAAATAAAATAAATAAATCCTATATAATGTACATTCAATTTAAATTAATCTAATTTCATTTAAACAAAGAAATACATATGAATCACTATAATAAATTCTTTCAGCAAAAAAAGCACATATAAAATAAAAGCTACACTTAAAGGTATTTCTGGAATATTCTGTTATTAAACTCCGTTTTTTTAACATATCCCCTAATAAACTACATAAATCTAGGCTAACTTAATTTTTCTATTAATAAGAGATTAATTTTATGCAATATACTCATTACTAACGAGACTTCAAGGCATGAAATATAATTTTGTTTAAAAAATCTAAATCACAACAATTAATTCAGCTCAATGAAAATTTAGTGTAATTTATAAATTTTATAGTTAAGCTTAATAGTAAGAGATATAATAGGAATAGAACTAAGTTGTTACTCTTTTTTCGAAATTTCTATCAATTGTCAATAAAGAGTACTAATACCATAAGACTTATTTCAATATTATTTTAAATCATATTTATATGATCTTGTTTTAAAAACTATTAATTCTAAATTCAACTTAATTTTGAAAAACATTCAATCAACTTTTCATCTCTCTATAAATCAATATTCTTCCAAAATTAGAGATTTAAATTTAAATTCAATTTTTTTATCTATGGCATGCTAAAATATTAATTTGATTAGAAAATTACTTAAGCCGTACANTAGGATTGTTATACAAAGACATCATATTATAATAACGAATATTTTGATCATATAGCATCTATTCTCAGTACTTAAATTACATCCTTTTTTGATTGAAGTCTATAAAATAATTAAAATATTGCTTTTCAATATGCTTCTTTATTGCGTCTTCTTTTAAAACTCTATGACTTACTTAGATTTTTGTATCTTTATTGATCTCTATTTTAATTAATTAATTATGAATATGTTTTTATAATTTATTTCCTGTTCATCATTACAATCATTTAAAAAACATTATGTCTATGGCTTTTGATGGAATAAATAAATATAATTAAATAAATACTACTTAAACAAAGTCCCTAAATAGGATAATTATTTATCTTGATTTATACATCATCATCAATTGCTTTAAATAATTTATGGTAGCAGCAAATTTATTTTACTCTTTAACTCACCTTTCCAAATATCACTATATTTAAAAAAAATAAAATAAATAAATCCTATATAATGTACATTCAATTTAAATTAATCTAATTTCATTTAAACAAAGAAATACATATGAATCACTATAATAAATTCTTTCAGCAAAAAAAGCACATATAAAATAAAAGCTACACTTAAAGGTATTTCTGGAATATTCTGTTATTAAACTCCGTTTTTTTAACATATCCCCTAATAAACTACATAAATCTAGGCTAACTTAATTTTTCTATTAATAAGAGATTAATTTTATGCAATATACTCATTACTAACGAGACTTCAAGGCATGAAATATAATTTTGTTTAAAAAATCTAAATCACAACAATTAATTCAGCTCAATGAAAATTTAGTGTAATTTATAAATTTTATAGTTAAGCTTAATAGTAAGAGATATAATAGGAATAGAACTAAGTTGTTACTCTTTTTTCGAAATTTCTATCAATTGTCAATAAAGAGTACTAATACCATAAGACTTATTTCAATATTATTTTAAATCATATTTATATGATCTTGTTTTAAAAACTATTAATTCTAAATTCAACTTAATTTTGAAAAACATTCAATCAACTTTTCATCTCTCTATAAATCAATATTCTTCCAAAATTAGAGATTTAAATTTAAATTCAATTTTTTTATCTATGGCATGCTAAAATATTAATTTGATTAGAAAATTACTTAAGCCGTACATATACTAATCGAGATGAGTTTAGGATCAATTTAGATATGGAATTACTAAACAAGACAGTAGTAATAGATAAATTATAGATTTTAGAAGATAAACAAATTATATATTAAATAATTGATTAAGTTTCCGATTGTAATATTTTTTATTATATTTTTGAAGAGATATAAATCTTTTTAATAAATTCAATCAATGACAGTGAAGCTTGAGATGCTTATACACAAATCATCAATGCCATAGAATAATTGCATATTTTGTTAATTATTATGGTAATATAAGTTCAATTGATTTCTATTCTCTATATAGGTCACTAAAGGATAATCGTTAGGATATATCAAATTTTATTTTTATATTTTTCTCAGATCTTTTTTTTATATTTCATTCAATTAAAATTTGCTCATAGAAATTCCATTTTTTCCATATTTCACTTTTTTAGTTTCTTTCGTTTTGTAATTTTCTGCTAAAGCAATAAATAATATTAATCAATATTCAATTTTTAACATATTGTTAATGTTGAATATGTTGTAATTTTCTTTTCAATAATACTATATAATTAAATTTGAATAATATTCAAAGAAATTCCTTCGTTTTCATTTGATATTATTTTGAATCTAAACACACACATAAAATATCATTATCATTTCAACAAAAAGTTGAACCAAAACTTTTATATGGAGAAGATGGGTATCTGTTAACAATTTACTGAGTAATTGTTTTTTAAATAATTAGATATTACAAATAATTAAGGATTTAAATCAAAAATTATCTAAAGAATTTGATATAAAAGCAGATTTAACATTCTTTAATAAGAAAATATTAAAATCATTTGTTTTTGATTAACATTTTAGCTATGATGATTTAAGTATAGAAAGAACTTTGAATCTCGACTTGATCTTGGGCAGATGGTATTTTAAGAGCTAGAATATTTTATGGTGATTTAAACTTAGCTAACAATCTAATTGGATGATTCTAATTTCACTATAATAATAGGTGTATGTTTTAATGAAGCTGAATTACAAATTGGGAAAGAATTAGAAAAGTATTGAGAGATGACTGATAAAATAAACAAATATGAATGTAGGAGTAAAAGTATTATATCTTTAAATTAAGCAAGCAAATAGAAATTTTAACTATATTGTAAATATTAAAACTTTTATTGTATTCATATTATCATTTTAAAAAATGGAATAAGAAATATAATACTGAATTTTTTTAATATAATATAAAATAAATTTATGCAAGTTTGTTAACCATTTATTCAACCAATGTTAATATAGAGAATAGATTGAATTAAAATTTAGACAATCAAAATAAGTATATGCATTTCCTCAAATGCATTGTGAAGAAACGTTTTTAGATTTTCAAAATATTTCAGAGCATTTCACAGATAATGCGATATTAAAATCTATATTTATTCAATAACCAAAACCTTATTAACAAAATTAAGACTACTAAACCAAAAAAAATACGATCTTAAAGATTTAGAAGGAAAATTGTATATAAATGAAAGATCTTAGTAAAAAAATGGGAATAAAATGCAACCTCTATGTCTAAATAAGTTCTATTTGATTTTTAACTGAAATTTTTGAAGAAATTAAAGCAACACAACCATATAATATTAAAAAAAATAAAACTACTGTTAAATATTAATCTGGATGTAATAATAGAAAGTAAATAATAATCTAAATTCAATCTAGTATTTAAATTAACTGAAAAAAGGATGTAACTATAGTACTGATATTATAAAAATTAAAATCTAAAAAAATCAGAACTTTAATTTCTAGAATTAGTAATATCCAATCTATCTAAACAATATTATATATATGCCATATAAAAATGATTTTAAATTCTCAAATTATAGAATTACACTCTAATTTGATAATATATAAAAATAGATTCTTATAATGATAATAAGTCAGCATCTAAAAATACAGATTAATAAAGAAGTAAAGAAGTAAAGAAGTAAAGAAAATATATTTTTCTAACTTTAAAATCCTCCATAGTTATTTGGTTATATTTATTACTAAAACTATATGTGAATATTAGAGATTTTTATCACGTTTTTTTTTCTTCTTTTCTATATAATAGTATCTTTAACTTTTATTTGAGATACCTAATTATCAAATAAATTGGATCTCATAGATAATAAATAGAAGTTCTAGCCTCTTTTTTAAATTCATGAATAAACGATCTCTCTTCATTCTTATTTATTATAAAACTTGATTTTTATCTAGGTACCAAAATTCACTATTTTCTACAAACTTCTTTCATTATCATTTTATTTCTTTTCTGAAGACATTATTTTTATAAATTAATCATTTATTTCTACCCAAATCATGATTATGTTATGATAATAATTACATTACTTAAGTTTAGTATAATAATTAAATAACATTTAAAAAAAAAATTTAATTATCCTCATTATAATAATTGAATAAATATATGGCAGAACTGTATTTTGAGATTTAATGAAAAATATGGATAATAGAGCATTGTTTTATGAATTATAATTGTGCTGAACCAATGGGTTTAAGAAAATTAACCATGGTTATTTGTTCATATTTGAACAAATTAATTACAATAAATAAATTATTTTTTTTGTTTAAATATTGAGAGAAAAAGTTCATATTGAAAGTCTTTCGATTTAATTAATTAAAATTTATTGAGAACATTTAACAGCACATAATTAAATACAATAATTTTGCGCACTAGATTTCTAAATAATAAATAAAACTAACTAATTGTTTTCCTAATTTAAAGGATTAGAATATTAATAATATATATTATACAAATATTTAGTACTTGATCTTCACTATTATTTAATCGATGTTAATGGGTGTTTTATGAATAAACTTTTTTTTTTAATTCTCCTCATTTAGCGAATCCCCTGATTACTACCAAAAACTAATTTCTGAAAAGACACTAAAGAGAAATAATACTATTCATTAATCAAAGTTAAAATACTAATAAAAAACAATATGTTTAAGCAGAAATTTGTGCTGTATTAGTTAACCAAATTAAGCCAAAATGGTTATAACTCAATTTAGGATAACATATTTCTTCAACAATATAAATATCATCAATTCTGAAAATATCAGAACAGTGGCTATCAAATGTTTAAATAAAATTAGACATAGAATTAATTACTTTTTTAAATTATCTCTATTTTTCTTACTAATTAACTCCTAATTATTTAAGAGTTTATATTATTAATAACTATTAAATTAAATTTCATCATTAATAATTTTTTTTCCTGTTATTTCAATGTAATCTATGGGTATATTATAAAAGTTTATGATCAAAATTTATTCAACATTAAATTGTCAATTTATTATAAATATTCCCAACTAATATAATAATAATAATAATTTGCATTGATATTTTTTATAATTCTAACATCAGAAAACTTAATTCTATTGATAAAGAAATCTTTTTTCTCACTTCATGAATTAAATAAATTGAATTTAATTTGATATCTTTAATGTTATTATCCAACGTTTAACAGGAATGATAGTTATTTATTGTAATTAGTTATAAACACAAATTACTATTTCTCAAGTATTCTAATAAGTCTCATACTATTTATACTATATTGTATAAGATATACATTAAATACTTATAACAAATTAGCCTACAGTTTTAATAAAGGATTTATAGAAATAAAGTAATTTAGAATATTATTATAAAATTTGCATCATACTATATTAAAATAAATAAAGAATCCATATTAGAAATATATTCTATATTAAAAATATTTTAATTAATCAAAAATCTTTTTTGTTATAAATAAGCAATAGAATTTAGATTATTTACTCCATCAAATTAAAATTTTATAACATCATCGCTATAGCTTTAACTATGGGTATTAATTGGCTGTTGGATATTTTAGCCACAGCCTCTTTACTCATAATTTAGTTCAACTGCATTAAATTTTATTTTGTATATATTAATTATGAATTTAATCTAATAGCTTTGGATTTTGATATCAAAATGCTGTTTTTAAGGTTGAAAATGAAAGAACGTTAGATGGTTAGTAAGATTAATTGCTAATAGTCCATTTATATGTGATGATAAATTCATAGATGGTTGTGCGGATGCTGTTTTTACAGGGCCTATTAATTATTAGTCGATGCATACAATTGAAGATACTTCATATGAACCAGTTTCCCATTTACTTTAATTAAAAAAAATAATGGATATTTGTTTCTTTTGGATATAAAAAAGGTTATTCAAGCCTATTTTTATTTCCAAAAATTTTATGCCATATCAATTCTATCAGAAATAAGATTTGGATATCCTACATCTTTGGCATTATGATGATCTATCATTTTAGGGTAAAATCTATAGATTGAAAGGAGATTTTGTAGATGTAAGTTATAAAGAAAATCAATTAGAACTAGGCTCTAGAATCCAAAATAATATAGAGATTTGATAAATAAGGATAAATGGAATAAAATATATTGCTATTATTTTAAGTATTATAGCATGCCATGCAAATTTAGTAGATCTTGAACTATTATTCTGCTAAAGCTTCAATTTAGAAAAATTCAAAGAATGAGGTTATAAATAACTTATAAAATAATGAAATTAAATTAATAATTTTACTTTTTCAATAATGGAAGAACATTTATTGCCGCCTTTTTTAAGAAGTACTCAATAATAATAGCCAATCAATCCAGAACCTAAAAAGCCTGTGTAATAACCTTCTGTGAAACAAAAATAAGCAAATGGATACTAATAAGCATAACATGAAAATCATTAATAATAATAGAATTCCTAATAATAGAGTAAATTTTGAGATTGGAATTACAAATATTTGTGATGGAAAAATACAATAATTTATGTTTAACCGAAAATTTAGGGTAAAAATATATAAAATAATCTATGAGATGGCTGTAATAAGTAGGCCAATAATAATATCCATAATAACCAGTCTATCAATAATAACAAACTTTCATCATAATAAGTAGAGTAGCAGCAAAAACCATAAAAATTGATTTTGATCAAATCTCTCGATAATACATAAAGTCTGAAGAATCTATTTTGTACTAATAGTAATGATTAATAATTATAAGAGGTTCTCCACAGTTCCTGCACCTTTATTACATCCTCCATTTGTGCATTAATTTTATAAGATAATTGATGAAGGGAATTGAAGACCTAGATATATGAGAAGTTCAGTCTCTGCAATAGGGAATGAACCATCTATTCTATAATAAACAGAGATTCCATTTGGATAGATTTATAACCATTAATCGAACCATCTATTTTTGAATCAGATTTACCATAAGTTGAATTTACAAATCAAATGAACCGTTGTGTTGTTAGAGATACAAAGCCTATTTTAGCCCTTATTTTTAATTTGGTTAAGGAGGTAATATTTATGTGTGTAATTTTTGTAAAATGAAGAAATAAGTGACACCAGATTATTTGTGCGATTTAGGTTAAGGAAATTAAAGAAGTAATAAATTTTCAAGAGATAATATAAATAAAGAATGTTATGAAATAATGCTCCTACTAGTTATATAAAAATGAAATTTAAAATACATTTAATATTGTGTTGTATAGAGTTGACATAAATATGAGTTGCTAAAGGTTTATACTCTAAAATTATTTCTTCGTTTTAATCAATATTGGATATAATTCCATATCCTAATAAACCAGATATTGCATTCATAAAATTTGATTCAACAATTTAGTTTTTTCACATTCCTAAAAATGTAACAGGAGAACCTTAAATAATAGTTGCTAGTGAGTTAGATGAAGCAAATGTACCACTTCCACCTGAGAAGCTATTTTTAAACATAGAAAACGGCAGAGATAAAATTGTTTATATGTTAGAAAAACTTGGTAAGTTTGGAGAAACTATAAATCAATACACAAATTAATAAGTTTCGATTAGCAAATGCAATTTAATTAATGTAACCTAGAAGTGGACGTATAATATATTTTGGATCTTCAGCGCCAATAGGGAAAACTACCTTATAAACCAACAGACACTAAATTATTTGGTTCGGATAAGGAAAAATTGTTTTATTAACCTAATTTTTAAGTTTATGTCAAATTAGGTCGTTTATATTATATAAATGATCATTATTTAGAATATTCAGCACCTTTGTAACTTGGATAGTCATATTTCTTAAACTTTTCATTATGATAAACTTTTAATAGTATCTAAGTGTTAATTCATTAATTTAAATAGTAATTATCATTAGTGTGTGTTTTTTAAACGATTTAAGAAAACATATAAAAATATGTGAAATTCTTTAATGTTGCTTAATAATTAAAGTTTGTGTAGAGAAAAGAATGGACAAGATTTTCTCTAATTTAAGAATTGGAATCTTTTGCCTATCATAGTTGGTTGATTTAAATGATTGCTTTATTTTTATTTTTGCCCGCAAATGAATTAAATAAAGATAAATTCATAAAGATTGCAGTATTTCATGATTTTTCAGAAGAGATTGTAGGTGGCATAATTTCTAGAGAAATATTCCAGCTAATGAAAAGAAATTTAAGGAAGATTATGCAATGAAAAATGATGATCTAAGATTTAGATGAAGCTATAAAAATAGAACTATACGAGCTCTTAAATACTTCATTAGTAAAATCTTAATGATTTTCAATTTAGGGATATGATAGAATAAATAATTTGTAATAGTTCTTTCCTTGATCTTATACTACATAACTTAACAAAATACTGAAACCTTTCTCTCATTCAATTGTGAGCAGTTACTTAATAAGTTGTCAGCGAGGTATCATATCCATAACCTTTATTTTATATTTAGAAAAACCAACATTTTTACAAAAGAGTATATATAATGTCCAGTATTACCTATATCATAGATATTAAAAACTATTTTTAATGGTATTTATTGCATTTTATCTCATTGATATTTAAGATAATAATAGATGAAAACTTTTAGACACTCATATTTGATTATTTCAGCAACTATGATATATTTACTATTAAGCCATGAGGAGATCAATAGACTCAATTATTATACATAACTACAACCCATTATTGGAAGATCAGAGGAAGTCAAAATTTTTCAAAGATAGATTCTCTTCAGCATACTATTATACAGTATATTTTAAAAATATAAAATTTGATATAACCAATTCACTTTACTAATTTATCAAATACTTTTGGGTTCTCTTTTTAAAGAATATGCAATACATGTGATTCTATTTCTTAATCTTATTTTTTGAAATAAATTGTTCTTAATAATGATTAAGTTAGATTTTCATGTTTTATTTAATAAGAAATCAGATATATTTTAGATTCTTATTATTATTGAAATTATAAAATAAATGTTCTCCATTGCTATGATTTTAATAATTCTTCTCTAATCACATCCTTTATTATAAAACATTATTAAGTTTTACAATTAGCCTTAATATGAGATATATTTTATAGATTAAATGTACTGACGGATGCAATGAGAAATATAAATATATTCTTGCGATAAATTTTCAGGATCAATCACCAATATATTATTTCTTTGATTTTAAAATTTTTAATTCAGAAGCAATTACATATTCTCATAATCCAATTTATATTATAAGTTTAAACTATCTATTTATTTCTACCTTAACTATTAATTGTAACTTTAAGAAATACTTTATACTATATTAATATTGATTAATTGAATTTACTATTATTATAAATTAAAAATATTTTATTACCATTAAACTTAATATTTATTATCTTAGTTATCTTATTTATAAAATTCTTTATTTAGATTGCAAAATATTAATTTACTATTTAAATTATTATATAGTGGTAATAACAGGACGCAATTCTTATTTATTTTTCATCTCATCAACCGTTACTTTATCATTCTGAATATTATTTTAGAGTTAAATCAAGGTTTAATAATAATTATAAATATTGATGGCAATTTAATAGATAGTTTAAGCTTTTGGATATTAAAGATTAATTTAATCATGTTGATATTATTCCAATTATGGCAATCAACCAAATGAACTACCTCCATTTATAAAGATTACAAGAAAGAAAATTCTATAATAATGAGCACCAAAATTTAATTCCTTTACAAACTTATCCAAATTGACTATATCCATCATACCACCAATAATTCTCATTATATTCCAATAGAATTGATTAATAAATTATTGAGGTTCATTTATAGAAATTAGATTATTGAAGATTCCATACCAAATAGCATTATTATCATATCAATAAAGAAAACACTATTATTTATTCCATTGTTATTTAAATTTTATTTGTAATTTTAAAATTGCATCATTTATATAACCCAACTCAATATATTATTTAACTTTTTCTTTAGTCTAATTAATTATGAAGTATAGACATTATCTATTAAAGGAGTTCTATTAGTATTTATAAATACAAAATGTTTGAATTGCATTCATTTATTTAAATTATAAATATACGACATTTGATAGATTGATTTATTTAATCAAATTGAGAAGATAATCAAAGTTACTTATCTTTTCTATAAGTCATTAATTACTTATCTATGAATTCTTACAATTCTATTGGTTTAGTTTAACTACTAAATATAATCCATTTGATGACTTTAATTATGCTAAAATACTCTTATTACAAGATATATTCCTATAAATAGAATAAGACTCTGTAACTTTTAGATAGCAAGTAATTCTTACTAATTAAAATAATATTGTAAAATTGTATTATTATATGGTGATTTCTAATTAAATAATTAATCTAACTTTCCTTCCTATATTTATTTTCACTATCTAATATCAAACAAAACAAAATATATATAGTATTATTATTCATTATAGCAAACACTTAATATCCGAGCAGAACATTATAATACATATCATAATGAATATGGATAACTCTAAAACATTTAATAATATTATTAATTTAATTCATTAAAGTGCGAGCTAATAAAGTTTATAACTCTAAATTATTTATGCATTGAAATTCTAATAATAAAATTTGATGATTTGAAATATTTTTATTAGAATCAAATAGTGTAAAATTAATTAATGAAGTCATGCTCTTATGTTATATCATTACTTTTAAAAATTGTATTTCTATTATGATATACTAAATTATTGAAAATCTTCATCATCATAAGCGTCTATTTCGATATATAGAATATTATTTTATTTCGTTGATTATAATAGTGTTTTATCATTTTAATTTGTGTAATCTTATTCAATTTTAAGTTGAAATAACTCTTAAATTAATTTACTCTTTCCTTTATTTGGTGTACTATAAACTAATATTAAATTGCTTTCATTCAACAGATTATTCATTTATTTCATTTCATATCTATTTTCTTCTCTTTTTGGAAAATATTCATTACCAATTCAATTTTATTGTTTTCAAAGTTTTGGTCATTTTATTGAATGAATTAAATTTAACAAAATTAAACAATTCATTACAAAATACACTAATTAAAACTTATCAAATTTATTAATATTTTAAATATATCTTATTTAAGATATCATTAAGATCGGAATGAACTTCTGATATTAAATTTAGAAAATTTTATTTTATAATTTCAATTATCTTCCTTCTAAATCTTAAATTTGCAATTGGTATCATTAAGCTGTACATATATAATTAAATATTATATTAATTAGAATTATGAGAGTATGACTAATTAATTTGATTGAATGTATCCATAAATGCATTACAATAAGAAATTATATTCATCACTGATAATTTAATCTATTTATAATAACGTCCTAATATTTATGAATATTGAGTAATAATATAATACTTACTAGAATCAATAAAATGTCGCAATCTATTAATTTCAAAAGCTTGATTTAGAAAGATATAGAGAGAATTTAGACATTTAAATCACTAATGAAATTATTCACCAAAAACTCAAATTAATATTGAATTTTATTATTTATAAAGTTAACTATATTATTTTCATCATCATAAATATATTTCAATTATTTAATATAGAAATAATCTTTTTCGCTATTCATTTAAAATAAGTTAATTTGTTATATTGAATGTTTTTGATTATTCAAACTCATAATGATAGCAATTTATCTTAATTAGTATTTAATTGATTATTTTTTAGAAAATATTAATTTATTAGCATTTTAAAGAATATCATCTACATCAAAGTATATGTGATTGTCATACTGATATAAATTATTTAGATTGGGTATTATAATATATGCTAATAGCATTTTTTACAATTTATTTCCTCCCCTTTTCAACAGTTCTAACCAATCATCTATCTCTCCTTTCTTTGAACAATATTTTACGGCAATTTAATCATTTTCTTTTGAATATAAAGATGCAACTGCTTTATTATAATCAAATTAATGAATATTTTAAAAAAAAAACCTAAATATTGTTATATAGCAGCTGGGTGTTTAACTTCAGAAACAACCTTATTAAATTATGGATTAGGAACAAAATTAAATCTTGGAAATAAATATTTCTTCTATTCAAATTATTCATTTAATTACTAAATTCTGCTTTTACAATTTAAAAGTTAAATTGTAAGGTTTTTCAAAGAATTTTATGATTCATTAAAAATATTATTTTTAGCAAAAACTGTAAAACAAAATTAAATTATTTCACACATATTTTTTAAGACTTTTTAATTGTAAATATGATTTAGATGAGAACTTTAAAATTTGATGAAATTCAAATTGTTCCAAAAACAATAAATATTTATTAAATGTTGTGTAAGCTTTATGTCTAAGAATAATTATCTAGTTGTTATTCATTATTTATTTATTAATCATATATTGAAAAATGTAATTTTGAATTATTTGTAGATGAATAAAGAAAAATAAAATTTAATTAAAATATCCCACCTTCATCAACTATGCTATCGTTTACACCAAATGGAAATAATACATAATAGAGCAAATGAAACATAAAAAGTAATTGTGCTCCAATTATAGGAAAAAAAAACCAAGATTATAAGGCAAATAATAAATTACTGGGAATAGAAAATATAGTAAGTATTTCTTATTAAGCAATAAAGATATTTAAAAGATTTTAGTGAGAAGAATTTGAGTCTTAGAATAAAATAGAAAATGAAGTAATAGAAGTAACAGATTTAGCTGAAAATACAGGTGTAATAGATTCTATCAAACAATTTTAGGAAGAGAATAAAACAATAAATACAAATAGTGATAGGAAAGCTCATTATAGGTGAGAATTTAATGTGAAATTGATCAACTAAAAAAGCAGTTATAGTTATTATTAAGGAAATAAAAAGTATAATTGAATATGGCTGATAAAGTACCTTACTATTCCACAAAAAAAGATTATTAAGCTCATATGTAATAAGAATGAGAAAAAAATTGATAATTTGTTAATACAAATTATTCATTTATTTTTTACTGTTTCCTATTATTGATTCTTTAGTTTTGTATTGATTTTTAAGCTATTAAGAATTTTAGTTTTAACTCTATTCTTATTTAAATAATATATTACATACTATTTAAATATTTTAGTTATTAAGATTTAAAACTTAGATTGACTATAACTTTAGTTAAAGCAGGAGTAGAACATCTCAATATTTTTCAGTACAAACTTTAATCATTTATAATTAATAATCAATATCTAATGCAAATTTATGATATATGATAAATTATAACAGAAATAGGAATACTTTTGAATAGAGAAGATTTATTTAATCTCTGATAAACTTAGTAGGTCATTTTAATATGAATGAAGTGATGAAATTGAAATAGAACAAGTTATTTAATTGGATAAAACCAATATTGATTATTTAAATAGAAATACCATTATTGAAATTAAAATTATTATATATCATTTTAGATTATAAATAAAGCTCATTATATTAATACAATTATAATAAATTGGCTATATAAATATTTAAATATTATTAATTCTATTTATTCATGAAATTTAAAATATAAATAAAATTTACATACTATTTAATTCTTTCTAATCTAAACTAAATCTTCTTTATATAAATGAGACAATTATTAGAAAGATAATTAATAGTAATAATAAAAAATGGTAAGAACTAAAATAAAACGCAAGAAAAAGTACTACTGGAAATAAAAAAACCAAGAAAATATCTAGCCACAAAGCAGCAAGAAAACTGGTTCAGCCGCTGATGGTACTACAATGGATTGAAAAACCACATAAATTTAGACTTGGAACAGTAGCTTTAAGAGAAATTAAAAAATATCAAAAGTCTACTGAATTATTAATAGAAAGTTATAAAGATTAGTTGGTAAGAGATATAGCTCATGATTTGATTTCTCACTAGAACTTAGATTTTAGAGTTTTGTTATTTTGGCACTTTAGGAAACAGCTGAATAATTTTTAGTAGGACTATTTGAAGGTGTCATTTATGCAAGAGCAGTAACTATTATGTAAAGAGGCATCCAATTAGCTCTAAGATTAAGAGAAGAAGATTTTAATTAATACGTTTATAAATATGAAGTTTTTTTACTAAATTAATATATTAAATTATTAATTAACATAAATGTCAGGATTAATTGAGGTTTAAAAAAGTGTTACTATGAATTTTAATAAATCAAATTGCCTTCTACTTTTTATATAAGATATTGAAGAACAATATATATACTATTGATGTGTCAATCATTTTGTTGCAGGATCTATCTATGCTTATCATTTTGGTCTTTCATCTTTTGAAAAATAAAGTATAATATTCTTATTTATTTCTAGTTTAAATTGGGATTATTAACTCAGATTAGCCAGAATTCTCTTTTATTATAGATCATGAGAAGTTTTAAAGATTCAAAACACGAGGTCATTTTTGAAAAAAATAAAAAAGAAACTTTATAAAATATCTTGTTTGTCTTTGAATAAAAGATTGCCTAAGGACTCATAGTTTTCGTGATCAGCTCATCTTTGTATTTCTTATTTAAGAATAATTTGAATCCAATATAATTGGCCATTTTAGGAACAATAACCTGAAGTAGTAAGGATGATAGGAGAATTGTAATTAATAACTGAAGGAATTGATAAATAATTATAAAAAGAAGATTTATAATTATTAGAAGGATTTGAATGAGAAGGAGACAAATATATCAAAAAGAAAAAATATTTGTTATAGATTTATTAACAAGGAGAATTAGTTAGATTAAAAATAGAGTTAAAATAAAAATTGAGAATGGAACTCTATGTGTCTATTTATGATACTATATACTGATTTAATTGTTTAACCTCTTATTATTTTCTGAAAGTAGAAAATTCACTTTAACCACGAAATCCATCATTCATATCATCATATGGTTTAAATTTACAATTTTATGCACACAAATCAAAACAATAAGGTTCTAATTTAATTATTTATTACTAGATTTATTGAGTTCTTCTTTACATAATTCTTTCATTTTTGTATAATTAAATTATTGTTCAAATCCTTTCGAGCAATCATAAATTTATTTTAATATTGGAACCTAAATATTAATTTATGGCTACATACCTTGCAGTTCCTGACATTCCTTTATTTTATGCTTAAGAAATAATAACTCTTATTCTTAAATTTTATAATTGTCTTATAGAGCTAAATATAGTTTTGCTAATCCAAAATCTATTAAATAAATGTATGATGATTTCCATTACTTCTGACTAAGAAATTCTCAGGTTTGATATCTTTCTCAATAAATTTTCTTTTATGAACTGCTTTATTAGCTGAATAAATAATACAAGTTTCTATTTTTCTGTGTCAAAATCATTGAATCCATTATGGTTAGTCTTTTTTTCAGAAATATGATTTCTAATTAAGATTAAAAAATAACTTTAATAAGATATACAAAAGATTAATAATTACTATTTATAACATATAAAAATAATGAATAAAAACGAGAGTTGTGAATCAAAATTTAAAAAGTAGAACAATTTAATATAATATTCAATTAAAGTAATGATAAAAACATTAATGTAAATACAACAAGCAAATAAAGAGTATTAAACGCTTTTAAAATAAAAAAATGTAATCAAATATTCAAAGAAGGAGATTATAGTATAATAATAATCTTATATAGAATATAATATCAATGAAGAAAAATAAAGGTGAGAAATTTAGTCATTTGTTTATGAAAAGTAAATCTAAATTAATATTAAAAATAACTAGAAATTGCTTCAAAAAAGTTAAATAGATAGGAAGAAGCATTATAATATTATGATTATTATAACAATATAGGTTAATTGGAATTTATATTAAAATCAAGCTCTTGTATTATAAAGCTTAAACAGATTTGAAGAAGCATTATAATATTATGATTACGCAATTTAAAAAAATCCTGAAGATTTTAATGCATATAACAATAAAGGTAAATTGGAATTTATATTAAAATCAAGCTGATGCATTATAAAAGTTAAACAGATTTGAAGAAGCATTATAATATTATGATTATGCAATTTAAAAAAATCCTGAAGATTTTAATGCATTTAACAATAAAGGTAAATTGGAATTTATATTAAAATCAAGCTGATGCATTATAAAAGTTAAACAGATTTGAAGAAGCATTATAATATTATGATTATGCAATTTAAAAAAATCCTGAAGATTTTAATGCATTTAACAATAAAGGTAAATTGGAATTTATATTAAAATCAAGCTGATGCATTATAAAAGTTAAACAGATTTGAAGAAGCATTATAATATTATGATTATGCAATTTAAAAAAATCCTGAAGATTTTAATGCATTTAACAATAAAGGTAAATTGGAATTTATATTAAAATCAAGCTGATGCATTATAAAAGTTAAACAGATTTGAAGAAGCATTATAATATTATGATTATGCAATTTAAAAAAATCCTGAAGATTTTAATGCATTTAACAATAAAGGTAAATTGGAATTTATATTAAAATCAAGCTGATGCATTATAAAAGTTAAACAGATTTGAAGAAGCATTATAATATTATGATTATGCAATTTAAAAAAATCCTGAAGATTTTAATGCATTTAACAATAAAGGTAAATTGGAATTTATATTAAAATCAAGCTGATGCATTATAAAAGTTAAACAGATTTGAAGAAGCATTATAATATTATGATTATGCAATTTAAAAAAATCCTGAAGATTTTAATGCATTTAACAATAAAGGTAAATTGGAATTTATATTAAAATCAAGCTGATGCATTATAAAAGTTAAACAGATTTGAAGAAGCATTATAATATTATGATTATGCAATTTAAAAAAATCCTGAAGATTTTAATGCATTTAACAATAAAGGTAAATTGGAATTTATATTAAAATCAAGCTGATGCATTATAAAAGTTAAACAGATTTGAAGAAGCATTATAATATTATGATTATGCAATTTAAAAAAATCCTAAAAATGCTTAAATTTACAATAATAAAGGTAAATTTAAAATAATGTCTATAATATTCAGCTTGCACTTTAGAAGATTTAAATAGATTTGAAGAAGCTTTGACAGAATATGACTTTGCAATTTAAAGAAATCCTGAAAATTATCATGTATTTTTTAATAAAGGTTATTACTTTACTTATAAGATAGCGCTAACATTATAAAATTTAAATCGGTTTGAAGAAGCTTTATAATATTTTGATTATTCAATTTAAAAAAATCCTAAAGATTATAAGGCTTTTTTGAATAAAGGTAAATAGTTTTGGTAAATAGCTAATTTATTACAAAGTTTAAATAGATTTGAAGAAGCTTAAAAATATTATGATTATGCTAAAAATCCTTAAGATTATATTAAAAAAAGTTAAATTACTTGATTTATATAAAATAGCTAAAGTATAGGAAAGCATTAATCATTATTTAAAAGTTTTTAAAAAAAATGATTATTCGATTGAAAAAAATACTGAAGATTATAAAGCATATTTAAATAAAGGTAATTAATTAAAAAATGTTACATATTTAGCAATGATATTATAAAATTTAATTGGATTTGAAGTGGCTTTATAATAATTTGATAACGATATTTAAAACAATCCTGACAACATTTGCTTGAACAATAAAGGTAATCCAAATTAATGAAAATTTAGCAATGATGTTACAAAAGTAAAATGAAGAAGCTTTAAAATATTATGATTATGAAAATTAAAATAATTCTGAAGATTCACTGTTGTACTATGGAAAAGGTAAAAACAAATAAAATAGTAAAATATAGCTATTAAATTAGATAAATTAAATAGATTTGAAGAAGCAAAATAATATGATTTTGCAATTTAAAAAAATCCTGAAGTTTCTCATAATGAAGGTAGAAATTAATAAAATTTAATAATTAGTACATACATTAATCAAGTTAAATAAATTTGAAAAAGCTTTAGAAATTTTTGATAACTCTATTTAATCAAAAGCTGAAAATTCTTACTTATACAACAATAAAGGTAAAATTTATAAAATATATCAACAAAGCAAAGATATTATTTAATTTAAATAGATTCGAAGAAGCTTTACAATATTTCGATAAAGCTATTTAAATAAATCCTGAAAATCCTTACTTTTACTATAATAAAGGTAAAATTGATAAAATAATAAATAAAGCAATGATATTATTAAATTTAAATAGATCTGAAGATGCTTTAGAATATTTTGATAAAGCAATTAAAATAAACCCTGAAGATTCTTGCTTTTACAATAAAAAAGGTAAAATTACTAAAATGTCTAATATAAAGCATCTACTTTAGAAGATTTAAATCGATTTGAAGAAGCTTTAACAGAATATGACTTTGCAATTCAAAAAAATCCTGAAGATTATATGACTTTTTTCAATAAAGGTAAAATATTTTGAATCTCTAGCAAATTTATTACAAAAATTAAAGAAATATGAAGAAGCTTTAAAATATTATGAAATAGCCATTAATAGAAATCCCAATATTCCACATTTTTATACTGCAAAAGGTATTTTTTTTTAGTAAATTAAGGTGATTTACTTCTAAATATGAATCGACATGAAGAAGCAATATAATCTTATGAGTATGCCATAAATAGAAATCCTGATGAGCTGCATTTTTAATCTGAAAAAGGTATTTTTTTCCATTTATCGTAACGACTTTAATGTTGATAAAAATTCTGAGAAGGCCATTATTCAGTGAAAAGTAGGTTTTGATTATTATCAATAAAGAAGAATTATAAAATTATTACAACCCCATATTATACAAAAGTTATTTTATATCATAAATAAATTATTTCATATGAATTATATTTATTTTTTTCCCCAACCCAAAATAATAAGTATCGCCCATTGTTTGTAACGGTTCCATTTATATTCCAAAATTCACAATCTAATTATTCAACAACAGATAAAAATCCATTTTTTTTTACTTCAAGAATAATAATATGGCACACATGTCGTAGGCATATAATTTTTTTCTCTTCATTATAAATTATAGGGAAATGAGCTATATTAATAAAAGTTCCATTAACTTTTTCAAATTTAACTTCCTTTTTTATATTTTCTTGAAATTTACCATCTTGAAATTCAAATACACATAAAATGTTTCTATTATATGGTATCCAAATAAATAAGTCTTCTTAAAGAAATTTGACGTGCATTCCAATTCCTTTTTCTAATTAAGTAACATCATACTAAAACTTCCATAATGCATTTGATTCCTTGATCCAAATTTTTATTTTTGAATCATGTCCGCTTGAAACCAATACTTTATCTGATTGATTTAAGCTTAATGAATGAACGCAACCGGTATGATTTTCTAATGAATATAGAAATTTTAATTCATTGTTGTTGAAATCTACATTCCATATTTTTATTGATTTATCTTGACTACCTGAAATTAATTAATCTTCTTTTTAAGTTAAGATTATACAAGTAATCAATCCTTTATGCTCTTTGCCTGGTTTAGAACTTTACCATTGACTATTACTTTGTTATTTCCACATTCTAATTGTCTTATCAATTGATCCTGAGATGAAATAATTATTAATCTGACTAAATACCAAACAACTCACGGCACTTGTATGTTCGAAAATTGAATGGGTTTTTTCTATTTTTCCATTATTAAAATTCCAAATTTCTATTTTCTTTCCATTTGTTGATACCATAAGCCTTCCTGCAGGATCAAATACAATTGCCTAACACTCTTCAGATTGTTCAATAGAATCATCAATTAATTATAATTTACAGGGAAATATTTATTGTTCTTAAAGTTATATTTTCTGATTGTCATAGGAGTAATCCATTCGGTTCAAAATATCATTACAATTTTGATAAAAACTAAAAGATTAAAATATTTATAGTGTGGAATTAACTTTTTTTCTCAAATTATCATTTGTACTTTTAATTTTATCTAATATATTAGCCAGATCATTCTAAGTTGATTATTTAGTTAACTCTTCATAGAAACTATAGACTTCATACTATAAACCTAATGTTTTTAAATTTTCCTCCCATTGATTTGAGTTATAAATCAATTTATCTAATAATTAGATGATAGAAGTTTTAAAATTATAGATTGTGCCCTAAAATTTCAATATTTTCTAAATATTTTATTCAATGTGATTTGCTATATCTTCTAAGTATTTTTTTTAATGATTTTCAATGTCCTGTTTAACTTTTTCAATCCCCTCCATCTTTCCATCATATTGAGAAAATTCAATACATTTCTAACACTTGAGTCTTTCAATTAATGTTAATTTATAATCTTGCAGAATCATCAACAAAGGCCTTTTGTGTTTGTTACAAATTAGATCCTCTTCANTCCATTTATCGTAACGACTTTAATGTTGATAAAAATTCTGAGAAGGCCATTATTCAGTGAAAAGTAGGTTTTGATTATTATCAATAAAGAAGAATTATAAAATTATTACAACCCCATATTATACAAAAGTTATTTTATATCATAAATAAATTATTTCATATGAATTATATTTATTTTTTTCCCCAACCCAAAATAATAAGTATCGCCCATTGTTTGTAACGGTTCCATTTATATTCCAAAATTCACAATCTAATTATTCAACAACAGATAAAAATCCATTTTTTTTTACTTCAAGAATAATAATATGGCACACATGTCGTAGGCATATAATTTTTTTCTCTTCATTATAAATTATAGGGAAATGAGCTATATTAATAAAAGTTCCATTAACTTTTTCAAATTTAACTTCCTTTTTTATATTTTCTTGAAATTTACCATCTTGAAATTCAAATACACATAAAATGTTTCTATTATATGGTATCCAAATAAATAAGTCTTCTTAAAGAAATTTGACGTGCATTCCAATTCCTTTTTCTAATTAAGTAACATCATACTAAAACTTCCATAATGCATTTGATTCCTTGATCCAAATTTTTATTTTTGAATCATGTCCGCTTGAAACCAATACTTTATCTGATTGATTTAAGCTTAATGAATGAACGCAACCGGTATGATTTTCTAATGAATATAGAAATTTTAATTCATTGTTGTTGAAATCTACATTCCATATTTTTATTGATTTATCTTGACTACCTGAAATTAATTAATCTTCTTTTTAAGTTAAGATTATACAAGTAATCAATCCTTTATGCTCTTTGCCTGGTTTAGAACTTTACCATTGACTATTACTTTGTTATTTCCACATTCTAATTGTCTTATCAATTGATCCTGAGATGAAATAATTATTAATCTGACTAAATACCAAACAACTCACGGCACTTGTATGTTCGAAAATTGAATGGGTTTTTTCTATTTTTCCATTATTAAAATTCCAAATTTCTATTTTCTTTCCATTTGTTGATACCATAAGCCTTCCTGCAGGATCAAATACAATTGCCTAACACTCTTCAGATTGTTCAATAGAATCATCAATTAATTATAATTTACAGGGAAATATTTATTGTTCTTAAAGTTATATTTTCTGATTGTCATAGGAGTAATCCATTCGGTTCAAAATATCATTACAATTTTGATAAAAACTAAAAGATTAAAATATTTATAGTGTGGAATTAACTTTTTTTCTCAAATTATCATTTGTACTTTTAATTTTATCTAATATATTAGCCAGATCATTCTAAGTTGATTATTTAGTTAACTCTTCATAGAAACTATAGACTTCATACTATAAACCTAATGTTTTTAAATTTTCCTCCCATTGATTTGAGTTATAAATCAATTTATCTAATAATTAGATGATAGAAGTTTTAAAATTATAGATTGTGCCCTAAAATTTCAATATTTTCTAAATATTTTATTCAATGTGATTTGCTATATCTTCTAAGTATTTTTTTTAATGATTTTCAATGTCCTGTTTAACTTTTTCAATCCCCTCCATCTTTCCATCATATTGAGAAAATTCAATACATTTCTAACACTTGAGTCTTTCAATTAATGTTAATTTATAATCTTGCAGAATCATCAACAAAGGCCTTTTGTGTTTGTTACAAATTAGATCCTCTTCATTTTCTTTCCTTTTTGGTTTAAACATTATTAATTTAATTAAGTATAAACAAGGGTTGTGTTGATCACTTATTTAAGAAGGGTAAGAAACCTCATTAGTTTTTATCCTTTTTTTAGTCTACCCAATAGTTTGGATACACCATAATACTAGTATTAGGGTGATTGCAATGTTAAGTGTTCAAACTAATAAGAAGAAATAAGAAAAAATAAAAATAATCAAAAATCATATATATACATAAAAATTCATCTTTCTTTTTAAAAGAACATAACTTTCATGTTCAAAAGTGAGAAAGCTGATATTAATAATATATTTTTTGGTTTGGTTTTTACTACATGACCAAACAGTAGTATTATGGTTGGACTTCATATAAAATGCAAAGAAAATTGGTTCACCAACGCTAACTCTTGTCAGGGGATGGTGATAAAGGTTTGGTCCTGACACATCTCCTATCCCACCTTATTTAGCAGAATAATGGTAAGGGACGATACTTCATTAGGATTTAAAAATTAAAATTGTTAAAAAAGGTTGTATATTTGAAAGGGTTGGGGTTGGGTTTGGGGTTGGGGTTGGGGGTTGGGTAAAGCCTACATGACGTTGTATTTTTCAAATGAATCGTCATTCTAAGTACGGTAGGGGTTGGGTCAAGAGGTTCGAAAAAGTTGAATTGCAAAAAACGCCATTTTTCACAAATTTTGATACATTTTTACATACAAATCCAAGGTTTTGTTA